TGTGTGAATTCAGCACAATGTTTGCTCTTGGTATAATTAGTTATGTTATCTTACAGATTGAATAATCAACTTTTATTGTGTGACAGAGATGCTTGTCACAGTATGAGTAACTTTAGGATTTTTAGTAAGAGGAAGAACCCTAACCTTCAACTGTGATCCATCTGATTATTGCATATATCCAACAACTTCAGTGTCCACTTTGATTCATGGATGAGATGGTAGCAGAGTGAGTAAAGGTTTATCAAATTAGAGTTAAATTGGCATACAAGCAACAGAAGTTTTGATAAAGTTTTCTTAAGTTCAATATTGGGTCAATAAAACACACTACATAGAATTAGTTTGGTTCACACAATATCTTGGTGCACTTCATGAATGAACTTTTAATATGCACTCTTTAAATTCAGGTGTAATGTTCTACTCACCCCATAATAAGTGATAATCATGGGTAAAAAGTTGGTCACTGACATTCTTAAACAATTCACCGGGGATCAGGAATTATTTGTGATCCTTGATCAGTAATGGACAATGCAACAAGAAAATCAGCTGCTTTCATAATTTTAGTAATAGGTTGAAGAAGAAAATAATCAGATAGTAATCTTTATCTGAGAAGTTGGATGGCAAAATGATAATTTTAAGTGGTTGATTGATATATATATATATATATATATATATATATATATATATATATATATATTTGTTTTCTTTGTTTTCTTATATATATATACTGTATGTATGTATGTATGTATGTATGTATGTATGTTGTCTATGTTATCAGCAAAAATGGATATCTTCACCGATAAATCTCAAAAGGTTTTATAATTTACACACATCCCAAAGTTTTACGCTTAGTCTATGAATGTTTCTGCTTGAAAGAAGGTGATTGGCTGTCATAAGCAACAGGCTTGTATAATCCATTTTATTGAGTCTGTAGCAAGAGGGCACCAAGTCCCACAGGAATGGCATTAGTCAGCACAGAAGTTGGAGCATTCGGATTATAATAAGCTGAGCAAGTATCCTTAGCTGTTATATCTTTCAGCTACTGAAATGCAAAATCTCAAATGCTGCAGGCTAGTGCCAAGCAACTCTTTCTAATCATCAGCCTCAGTGGTTCTGAAATATCTGAATAATTGGGAATACATTTCATAAGAATCACAGCTAGTTAGAAAAGAACTTAACTCCAGATTCTCGGGAATTGGGTCATGCAGAATAGTTTTTACTTTCTTTGGATCAGGTTTAATTCATACAACATTTTTTCTAATATAACAAACTCTTCAAGACAAAATTGGCACTTGTTTAATTGGTTTTATGGAAACCTTCAAAAACTGCTCTCAGTCTATCACAGAGCTCCTCAAACAGTTTCTGGATAGACAATACCACCATCCATATACCAACCCTAACAACAACCACAGTGAATAATAAAGGTCATCCCATGGAAAGATTCTGGTGCCATTTTTAACCAACTTTGGCAGCCTCTCACTTAGCAAAATTCAGAGCAACTTGCACAGCATGCAAAATATTGTACATTGTAGGCACAGTGGTGTTCTTACCCCATATCCTTATCTCATGTTCTCAGATTGACATAAAGACGGATTTCATTAGTACCTGAATTTGTACTTTTCGTACAATAACCATTCTCCAATAATTTGTTTAATTCAGCTTCTACCATAGCATATAGTTATTTCCCTCCAGTCTTGGGCAGCAGGCACAATAGACTCATCCACTATAACTATGTGCAGTAATTCAGTAGATAAGCCCTTCGGACAAGACATTGTTTCAGTCCCACCAACTGATCCAGCTGACTCTGAGAATGAGCAATAGCTCTTATAATATGGCTTAGAAGTCTCTTTCTGAAGGCTATGAAAGGAAAAGATAGATATCTGGACAAGCAGTAGTTCTAAATCTTCTTTGATAACATACACAAAATCATCAACCGCATCCAGGCCAACATCATAATAAAGCGACTCAAACACATGAAGGTGTTGGGCTGCTCATACTTTATTTATTTTTGTTAGCAGCAAACTAACTCTTTGCTTCTAAATGCTACATGATGGCATTTACTACAAATAAATGCCCATGAACTCCTGGTATCAATCTAACCACTCCCCTTTAATACTCACAACTCATTTTTATTAAACATTCCCAAAATAAAGTCTTCCTCATCCTCAACATCTATTGTTCTTTAGAGACAATAGGCCTTCTAAGGCCTTTAGAAACTTTCTCCTGCACATGCTCATTTTGCATTTTAACAAGATTAATCCAGGTTTTCTTGCAACAAATGCTATCTGTATGTCCTCCATATAAATTTATATTGTTCCCTTGAATAGTGCAATAATCCACAAAGATTACAAATAATTTCTGCCTGATTTGACAATATATTCCCAGTCCCATTTTAGTTACATCTTGCTGGCTTTGGCGATTAAACAAAGCATTTATAGAGATGCTATTCATGTAAGTGACTTTTTTTAAGTGCTTACATAAAATTTGATCATGGTACTGTTTTATCCAGTCATATTCTCTTTTTTTCCTATTAAGATATTCACAATGATTGGTGAATGCATTTTTTCACCACTTGATCTGCAGTGTTATCTGTTTTTAAATGTCCTCATTCATGGTTTAGTGAATCAATCTAGGTAGCTAAAAAGTCAATAGGTGCTTTTATTCTACATCCAAATTTCAATTGTTCCATCAAAACATTCCCGTGCTGAGTTAAATATTTATCCTAAACCTCTTCAGCTTGAAATAAGCTGCCTTTTTCTCCTGATAAATTTGAAAAATGAAAAGTTGAACTGGAGTTTCCAACAGTTTAACCCTTCAAATAGCCACCTTCTTTTCCCAGTTTGATAGGAATTCCATAACATGTAAATACCTCCATCCACAGTTTAAACTCTTTACACCTGTCATTTGCATTGAAATTCAGAAGTTGGACAGCAACAAGACTAGAGTGAGCTATGCTTATGTAATGCTCCAGATTCCAATGTTCATCACTCATCACTGAATCATTTATTGGGGGATTCTAAAGAAAGATTCCAGAGTAAGATGTGACTTAGAATTCCTTTCCATATAACAAACTTAGATATAATCCTCTCAATAGTGTCTCAATCTTGTCTCCTTCTACATTCCATCACCTTCCCTTCCATCTCTTGCAATGTCTCCTGGGACTTATAGTCTGCATATTCTTAAATTGGAAAATCCCTGTAACTTTACTAGTAACTTGCAAACTAGGATTTTAGAGTTACATAGCAAATTTGAAAAGCCTGTTTGGCTTCATTTCAGATCAGAGTCACTCTTATGGAAAAATGAGGTATCGTTAAATAATTCCATATGCTTATTAAAGATTGTGTTACCTATATGCATTTTACATAACTGTTTGGGAAATAGTATTCCTAAATAGCAGAAAACATACATGCTTGTTCACTCTGCTTAGAACATATTACAGTAATATGGATATTTTTACCCATAGGTATTGTACATATGCTCAAGAATTTCTTATCTACTGCCTTTAAAATTCTGTTTTTCATGTGCCATTATATTATCCTGTGCTACTGACAAAAATGGCATTAGACAAGCTTCAGATAACATAAGACTCCAGATGGAGCAGAATATGCTTATATTGATGTGCACTGTAATTAACTTGCATGAACATAGTAAGTTTGGGGATTGTTCCAGCATCTTGCTTCTGGTAACTGGAGATGAGGGTGAGAGAAGATCTGATGTTTTTATGAAGAGGTTAAAGACCTTCTTAGCATTTAAATGACTCTCCAGGAAGACATTGGAGATGATGCATTCTGATGACTGTGATAATAAATCAAAGCAATTTCCCTTAGACAATTGAAAGACCCCGCTCTGGTTGAGCTATTAGACTATAATAGAAAGGAGTGGTTTGCATAGGCCAGATTTGATTTGTGACACTTATAGACATTTGGTATAAGTTCCAAAGCAGGCACAGCCACTTTGATGTATAATTCCCTACGTGCATTAACTGAAACATCTAAAGAGTCAATAGGCATTTTTATTCTATATCCAGATTTCAACTGTTTCATCCAAACATTCCTGTGCCGAGTTAAACATTTATCCTAAGCATCTTCAGGCTTGAAGTAAGGTGCCTTTTTCTCCTGCTCACTTATCAGCATGGCAAGTTTTGCAACTTAAGTGACACAAACTGGCAAATGCTATTCAGGTACTGTGAAGTGGTAATTCTTAGCTGCTGAAATGCAGCTGGGCACGTTTTAACTCTGATCCATGGTATTAGTCTTCCTTCAGAGGTATTTTTTCCTGTACTTTTTTTAATAAGAGAAAGAGAGAAACCTTTGGGAGTGACAGAGTTGAGAGGAACAGGGTAACTGTGTAATCTCAACCCAGATCAGATGAAATGTTCAGTGGAAACGTGATAATTTCCTGTTACTTGAAACTATTACATTGAACTCCCATCAAAGCAAAACAGAGAGTTGGGTTGGAATTAAGTTTATTGCATTTGCCAAACTAATCATCTCACTGAATAAAATGAGGATTCATTTCATTTATAATGGGAGAAAGACAGAGTTTCCCTAGTCACACTGGTTGAAACTGGGAAATTAAGCAAGAACCTTATTGTCTCCTTCTCAGAAAGAATTGTAAGGTGTTGGAACAGCAGCAAGAAATGTGGCACAGAGTGCAAAGCAGAGAAAAGATTTTTTTGAATTTAAAGTCAGAAGGAAGGCTTGAAAGCAAATATATATACACACCACTAGGCACCGGGGTGAGAGGAACTAGTGATGGTGCAAGAATTTAATTTGCAAAACAGTGAAATCATAAATACATAAATATTGTGCTGTTTAAAACATGGCAAGTGCGTGTTGTGGGAGAAAACTGGGAGTGCCACATATTCCAAAGGCAAGCAAGCAGCAAGCTGGCTGGTTATAAAAGAGTGTTTAGAAGATGAAAGATTTCATAGGAAAAGAGATGTTGAGCCATCGTATTGTTCAGTGAGGGCTAGGAAGAAAAAGTGGAAGGGAAGTTCTTACCACATTTAGAAAGTCTCCCAGTCATCAACTCCATACAGTTAGTGGTGTCTAGATCATAAGGGTGGAAAGAGGAGGAAGGGAAAAATATCAAAAAAATGAGTTCCAGAGCTCTATGTATACTGTAGCAAGATAACAAAATTATTTCCTTGAGTAAAAAGCATATTATATGGGCATGGCATAGCTGCCCTAGATTCTGATTTTTCTTCTCTGATTAGGGCTATCAAAGTATTTTGAAATCAGCACTCAAGCACAAAGCAAACCTTTTCTCTGTTCTCTATTTCCCCTGTCTAATATTGATGCTACAATAAACATGCAAACATTGGCAATCAGAATGTTCATCTTGATTAATTTCAGACAAATGTTGTTTTCAATATCCTCGCCATCAGAAATATAAATGATTTTAAATATGCATTTTTATATTTACAACACAGAATTGTGTTTCCAAATCATAGGTAAATTGTTCCATTCATTATAGAACATAAGCACACAAAAAAGGAATAAAATATTTTCCTAGGCTGCTAAGACAGGGAAGTCCTTCAGACACTTAACCAAATCAAATTAATACACCCAACATGATGATTGGAGCATTCTACAACAAAAAGGAAAACAAGATATTGCATGCCAAATTCTGTGGTCCCATTTCTCACCCAATGCCTGGACTATAAATAATAAGGCATTTTAATGTTTTCCAAATAATTGTGTTTTATTGAAAACAATTATACTTCTGACTTAATGTTCAAAAGGGTTCAAAAAGAGAGAGGGAAAATATATATTTAACTATTCTTTGGATTAAGTTAGTGTTGCCAGCAACTTATTGCCAGAACTGCTGTAAAGATATCTATAATTAAAAGAGATGGAACTAATTCAGTCCAAAGGATGAAACAGCTGTTCTTCCAAGCATATGCTTTTCACGCACATGGCAGAAAAATAAAGGACTGTTAGATTTGCAGCAGCATGGAGGGACAGAACTAGATATTTTGAATTGAGTCAGAGTTTCCTTAATAGTAGCATAGCCATGACAAAATGGTCTGAACGTTGTATGGATATAACTATATTTTGACACAAATTGAACTTTGCAGTTGGCAGATTATGAACTATAAGATGGCCACGGAAACAATGGGCCATCTTAAGGATTTTTGGTAGCACAAATAAAGATATTGCTCCTCTACTCCTGCTTATAACTTGTGTGTTAGTTTAAGCTGGAAAGTACAATTGAACATATTGCATTTACTTCTCATCTAGTGCTCTTTTGCCCCATTTTTCTTTTTTCTCCAAGCTTGATACAAAATTAAAATATCTTTTTATTAGATATTTTAGAAAACACGCTTCATCATAATCCTGGCAAAATAACATCATTTTGAACAAGATTCTAAATTATTTAATTAACACAAAGTTCCATTCGGTAATTATTTTGCTGTTTTGGCTTCTGGCCCTACAAGTTCTGCACCATTTCTACTAGTGCTTCAGCAAGTCATTATCTGGTATTTCTTGGCCACAATAAGTAGTTTGGAATTATTTATATACTTAAATAATTTATAGGGCTGACCATTTCAGAGCTTAAAACTATAGCTACACACAGCAATCCGGGATGCTCGAAGTTAAATAACACCACATAAAAGCTTCATCAGTGATTTGTTATTATAGAAATGGCCATTATGTAATAAATATGTAAAGCAAAAAGTTGAGGTTTTAACTCTATTTTGTATCCCATTGCACCAAAAAAGTTGGAAGTCAACTGCTTGCCTTTCCCTTCATCTTGCACCCTTTCCCCCCTTTTTTCCTTCCCCTATTTCCTTATTATCTTTGTTTCCATTTTTGTTTTACATTATAATAAATTTCATTTTTTTTTAAAAAAGGGGTATATCAGCAGCACAGTTCACAGTTTCAGGGTGGGCTGGTTTCACAGTGCAGGTGCTATTGCTGAGAAAGCAGGATTCCTGGGTGGTGACCATTTGCAAAGTTACATAGAAGTAAATTGATTTGGAATTGATGGGGTACTTTTTGAGGAGAGGTGGTGGGAAGAAATGGACAATTCTCCAAAACCTGAAAAGATTCTGTTCAGGTAAGTGCCCCACCACCAATTTCACTTATTTTTTCAAAGATTCAGATTTTACTCTGTGTTAAAAAATATTCAAACTTATTCCTAACATTCTTGACTACATTTCAACTTTTCTCATGAAATAATCCGCAAGAGGGATTAGCACTGTCCAAGCTATGCGAAAGATATGTATTAAATTTATATGCTAACTATCTCACAGTTGGAGGGACTCTGGGAAAATACATTCTAGCACCCCCATTCTGTAGGTTATAAGCATGCTGGCAGAAATGGTTGATTTATCATGTCTGGGATTAAGTTGGCTGTAGAACCTCTATTGATTTTTTGGGGAGTGTAATTTTGGTCCAAGCAATTATGTGATCTTTATGTCTTTATGTATATACAATTATGTCTTTATGTATATACAATTATGTCTTTAATGTACTTTTAATATATGTATTGGACTATTGCATGACATTGGAGTCTTCTTTGAATAGCCTCAACTCAACCCAGGTATCTCTGAAAAAGATTAGCTTATTATTATTTTTTAAGGGAAGAACAGAAAAGCAGAAAGAAAAGTATGCATTAAATGAACTTGGAGCAAGAAGTTAAATTGGACTGAGTATAGATAAGCAAATAGCACCCCAAAGTATATATGAAGAATATATATTCTTCACTATATATGAAGAAAAACGGTGTGGTTTTTAAGAATCAGCTGAGAAAGAATATACTTTTTATAATGTATATGGTATATATTTGTACAAGCCAAGAATTTAACAGAAATAAAGGATTTTATTTAAAAAGTTATGGGAAAGTTTGCAAACAATGTTGCTGTAACAATGTATTTTTATGGAATACAGTCTATTTCAGGGGTCTCCAACCTTGGCAACTTTAAGCCCGGTGGACTTCAGATCCCAGAATTCCCCAGCCAATTTCTGGGATCTGAAGTCCGCCGGGCTTAAAGTTGCTAAGGTTGGAGACCCCTGGTCTAGTTAGAGGAGAATCAAAGGCAACCCTCTGAAAGGCAGTTGATGAAGAACAGCATAAGAAGCCTATTGCCTTCACATCTGGCATATAGTCCTACAGAAAGCAATGCTCTACTATGGAATTTTGGATCAAAAAAATAATGTACAGCTATGGATACATGCTAAAACTGTCAACTCATTCAATAGCCTGATAGATTTTCATTTTTTCAGTAATCAAATGAAAGGAGAACTCTGTCTGCACATGCAGTGAGATACAATATAGTGTTAGGCTAAAGTGGTAAAACATATTGTGGATATAGCCTTTTCCTTTATGTCTAAACTCCACGGAAGCAGAAAACTATTCAGTAGAATCCCAATCTGCTGCAGATACTTAATTTCTGAAAAGTATCTATGAACATGTTATGTCAAATATGCAGTTTCGTACAATGTTTCATATAAGCAATTAAGGGCATTTATAAGCCATTCCAGGGTCTTCCTAAGACTGTACAACCCAGTGGCATCCGTACTTTGTTTTAATCTTATAATCTATATCTGTTTCAATATAATGTAAAATAACATTCCAATGTAAAATAACATTCCAATTTAGAACTAATAGTTCTGGTGTCCTCAGTGTGACACTTCTGAGTACCAGTGTACTTATTGACTCTTCACCCCTGTATTAGTGAAAAAAATATATCCAGGTTTAGTTACACCCAGGATATACTACAGGAGTAGCACCAGGGGAGATTGAGGCTACTTCTCCACTGATGCAGTGGTGCATCAGGGAAATCCCTTCATTTCTAGAGACTGCTTAGAATCAAGTTCCATGAAATAATATTTCACTTTCTGATCTGGTTGCTTCAAAGTCTGAATCCTTACATTCCTGCTAATGGGGGCATTTATATCTACCCTCTATAAACAATATTATTTTTATTGGCTTTGATGGCACTTTTACTTTATAAATTCTGAATGAGTGCATCTATTCTATTTATAAATAACCCTCAGATTAAATTTCCAATGTAAAAAAAGTTAGAAAAATTCCTGAATCTATGCAGAGAACTGCCAATTAAACAAGATTATTTTTCAAATCATAGAACATTAAAAACCCATTAATCAGAACTTTCACCATTTAAATTGCAAAAATGTAGAAATATCACATGAATGAATCATCATATAAACGTGTTTAAATATGTCATTGTCTAATCAGGGCACTTCCCAAAAAGCCATTTATAACAGTTCAGACTTTCTTCTGAACTGCAGCATTCCCATAAGGTTGATACAGTATTTGTGAAGTGGTCTTTTTTTTTTCCTGGTTGCATGTTGGTTTATCTGAAACCAGAGGAGAAAAAGTCACTTCCCCCTGCAACCAATGCCACAACCCTGCAGAGTGTGGAGGCAGTTCCCCCCCCCCCCCGAAAGAAATCCTGGTCTCACTCTGCTTCTTGGTAATGAACTTTTAACATCTTATTTCTGATGTCTGCCCATAGGTGGGACTGACCATGTATCTCCTGTCTTGGAAATCTACATCCCTTGGAAAGAAGCTGACAAAAGAGGCTGGTTACAAGATCATTGAGAAGCTACTCACTCACAACTTGCAAGAGTGGTAAAATGTAGGTGGGTAGCAACTTTATCTTTATGTGGAATGGAGGAAAGAGGAATCTTGAATAGCTCAAAGCAATGGGACACTGATTTGATTACTTTTTGCACTCTGTTTTTGAGCACTGACAGGTTTGTGGCATTTCCTCCTCCCAGCATTTCAAGGTTACTAGAAGTCTCATGTTTTGAAAAGACTGGGGAATCAAAACAATGGTGGTATAAAAGAGATCTTCAGATTACTTAACTATTCCTAAAAACATAGTTAGTTATGGGCAAACCAATTTTCCCCTATCATAAATTTGCTTCTCAATTCTTTTGTTTGCACTATTGTAGGAGCAAAAGAGGTTCTAATGCTACAATTTGAAGAGGAAATTACCCAATTAACAGGACCAGAAGAAGATACTTCTTGTCTGTCATTGCATACTCATTGTCAACTTTCCTGTATTTCTAAATGTTGGTACTTGTTAATAAACTCAAAAAGTTTACAAACTACTATAGACTACCATCATAGGGCAGAGGGAATTAGACTGAGTAATATTTAAAGTAATATTTCATAAAGTAATATTTACTTTATGAAAGGAACATAAAGAAAGTTAGTATGTTCATAAAGCCTGTTGGTAGAGAGACAAGGTCACAGTTCATATTAATTGAAAGATTATTTGTTTTGCAAACATAACTTTTTACTAATTGGTATAAAGTTAGGCAGATTCCTTTTCAATCCAAAGTTTTAAGGATTTCCGAGAGCAAAAACTGCATTCCATGGGTCAGGATTCTTAGGATGATAAAATCATTTGTACAAATTAATTTCTATAGGCTTATTTTATTGTTAGCTCTATATTCTGCCTTTTGTTCAGTTGCCCAAGGCAACTTACATAGGGCTCCCCCTTCCATTTTATCTCCACCATAGCAATCCTGTGAGGTACTCACCAAAGACACCCAGTAGGTTTCCATGGCTGACATTGGACTCAATCTTAGGTTTCCCCAATTCCAGAGAAACTACTGAACCCTAATACCACACTAATTCTCCTAAAGCCTTGATCCAGATGAGTTTAGATAAAAAGTAATAAGCAAAGTAAATCCCAAAAAGCAGAAATGAGAATGAAGACAGTACTTAAATGGAATACAAAGGTGTGACACACAAGACACACCACTGAGATGAGATACATGTAGAGAAAAACCTGATGACCACCAACACAGATATGGACTTGCAAAGAATGAGAAACCACAGAGTTCTGAAACCCAGGTGAGCCAGTTTAATAAGCTGGGTCAGGAGAATTAGCCAAGGATCACTTCCATGAAGCCACAAGTCCCTGCTGGCAGTGTTACAACTAGAGACAACATTCACAGGTATATCACCTAGACAGGAGGGAGCATCTGTTGATATACATTATGTTAGCTTATTTCCTTTCACAGTGTAGTTTATTCATATAGAATATCCAATCACTCACCTGGCATAGTGCCTGATTTGGAAAAATGGGGAACACTATATTGTTAAAAAATATGTTCTCCAAACCTCTCTAAGAGGCTAGAGTCGGATGAAGTAATAACAACTAATGTGGCTTTTTATGTAAATAATGGTTTATCGTAGACTATGAACTGGTTATCAATTACTTAGGTTGGAAAAACATCCTGCTAAACTGAATATGATCCTTATTTCCTAAATAAGAAGATGGTACTGGAATGATAGTAGCATTCTTTCACATGGTTAGTCAACACTCATTTGGCACTGATTAAGGGGTTAACTCTTTATTCAATATAACTAGCAAGCTATACTCCTTGGAAAAAGTCTTCTTGTGATGCCTTTCTTGATTATTACTCTTATTCAATTATACCTGCACTTTTGTTACAACTTAAAATTGTGGCTGCATGCAAAATGCTTTGTTTCTTGTAAAGAATTCTAACCAGCCAGACGTTTGTTTTAATGTGAATTCACATGGCGTGGTGGATGTTCATTAACTGTATTAGATATCAACTGCAGATGGGAAGTTCATTCTCTGCAGTGACTGGCCAAAACTTTAAGATTATAATGCAGTCTAGCAGTAGGGCCAAAATTTGGTGCAAGGAACAGTCTGGTCAGGCTAAAGTATCTTTGGACAGGAAATCAATAAGCAAACATTCTGCAATGTTAATTTAGCGGATTCTATCCTAATTCACTTTCCTGTTATTAATTAGATATTCCTTTCTCTTTTACAAAATATGTATATGTATGTACATATACATACACTATTTGCCCATAGTTAAATGGCACACATTTTGCACATAGAAGATACTAGCTTGGCTTATATGTGAATGGCTGGGGAAAAAAATCTAATATATCAATTGAGGAAGCTGGAGAAAAGAATGCAATATAAACAACTTCCAATTATCTAAAAGTTGCAATGTTTTGTAATGTCTTGTAAGTCTTTTCCTATTCCAGCACCCAGTTTCAGACTCTGTTTATCCCCTTTCATTTCCATATTACATTTGCCTCCAAATGCTTACATAAATTATCTGAAAAGGTTAGGCTTGTCACTAATGTATGGAGAAATCTCTTATTTCCCTAAGCATAGGAAAATGAAAAAAAAAAGTGTTCCATTTAGATCGATGACCTAACTGTATTTTGGATCTATTTAATCACATTTTCCCCATACCCTCCCTGTTAACGAATATCACCTATAGTCATTTTGTTTGGGAATAACAACATTTACTTTTTAGGAGGAGGGAAGTGACTTTTAGAATGTGAAGAACAGGATTTGAAGAAGGCCAGAAAGGTTAGGAGAAATTGCAGGGACAAAATTTTGTTAGTATGGCTTTCAGGGAATGTGTCATCCCATTAAAAAAAAAGCAAAGAGAGAGAAAAAGACAAGCTCCTTCTGTCTTTGCTGAATTATTTTAAATTTAGGGAGGAGAGAAAATGGCACACTGATTCTTCAATACGAGTTCCTTTCAAAAATTAATCTTGCGTGAAGCTTCCAGATATTCCCATCTGCTTTCAAAATTCTATTTCTTTAGGAACTAAATTAAATCGTTGCTTAATTTTGTTTAAAAAAAAATTGAATAAAGCCATTTTGTATGATGTTTCAAAGCATGTCTGTATACTGGACAGACCATTAGAAGGATACAAATAGCTGATGACACTTCCTGTGAAACAGGGACAGGTGGCTCTTAGGGCAGGGCAGGGCAGAACAGGGCAGGGCAGGGCCATGGGGAGGAATGAATTTAGGAAATGAGAATTGTTGCAAGGCAGGCAGGGGTAGTGCAAATGGAAGGGAGGTGTTGAGGATTCTTACTGGTTGGTCTGAATGAAATTAGTTTTCAAGTGCAATGTGATGTTGAAAGGTGCTTCCAGTTCATGCCCTTGCATGAAGCAAAGATAAGCAACTTACCTGATAATTGTTGCACTGATGGCTGGTCATGTGTGCTTAACAATTGTGCCTGAATGGTTTCTACTACTCTCTTAAAGCGCCGGCTTGGACCTATCAAAAGAGATGTTACACTTTAAGATAAGGTAGAATATCACTGGATGACTGAGAATCTCCATAGACATGTATCTCACATCTTTTGTTCATATGATATCTCGTCATTCTTTGAGATATTTCTCTCTCTTTTTGAACTAGTTAATAAAAATGACCAGTTCTCTAGATGTTGTACCTTGCTTGGGTGGTATCAATATAAAAGCTAATAGCAATAGTTGATGATAGACCTAATAAAGTTATATATTGTTCAATCTTACTAAAGCTTCTATTTTCCTTTCTTAAACTTGTTGGTTTGTCTGTAGGTTCCTACACATTTTTAGCTGTCTTCCACAAAGAAGAGATTGGTTCATTTTAGGGATCTTGAATAGCTTTTGTCACCAACATAAGCTAATTTGTAGGTTAAAGAACAAACTATGTTTTAATGACAGAATAATTTATTAGCCATGAAACTAAACACACAATATGACTCATTATTGTGTGAACTGGGGGGGGGGGAAGCAATAGGATATTTTTAGATGAATAGCTTCAAAATGTGAGTAACAAACAGAGATTATGTCTACTAAGAATATTCCATGTCACTTGAACTATGTATTAAGTCTGTGAACTGCTTGATAATCCACCCAATTCCTGAAATTTTAAGAAGGCAAAAGAAGTCAATACTGGTCAAGCTCACCTCTGTGTATATTAGTACACAAAGTTTTCTGGAGTTCTAAGACATTTCAATTAATCCCTCTTATTTCAAGTATTAAAAAACACCAGCTTTCCTCTTTATTATTTTTTACATACGCCTAACCATTTGATTCTTGGGGGGAAACACTAAATTCTACATGATTGATATCTTATGTTAAGCTATGCAAACTATACTAATGATTATTTCCATGTGTCCACAAGATAATAATTATACACTAGAAAATGGAAGTAATTACATATTTCTAACACTCAGAAAACTCTATTTGAATATTTTTGTATTAAGGTGTTGAAGCAACTAGCCATATTTGAAGTAGACCTTTCTTCCTATCTACGTTCTCCACACAGCAGGTTTGAGACAATTATTTATTTCTTGTAGCTTTATTTAAAATAAATAAATAAAAATTATTTATCAGTTACCTGATAAAAGTGTAAAAGTGACGGAGTAGATCCCATTCTCTTTCTGGGCCTCCCCACCTTCTGTGTATGTAATGTCTACCTGGAACTTCACTGGCTTCTGGAAGACAGCAGGGCCTCCAGTGGACTTGTACTCTGCCCGGAAGCTTGTTTGGGAGATGACGCTATGACTGAGACTGGGAATCTAGACCAAACAAAATGATAATTGAAAAACAAATCCTGCTACCACAATAGGATCATCTTTGAAAAGCCTTTTTTCCCCTTTACAGTTTTAAAGGGGACAGAAGAACATTTTTCTGTTCATTCTGAAATAATTGGTAATGAACTTCTCATTTACTTACTTTATGATTGTTTAAGAATTGGGTAGGTCTGCCACATATATTGACATATTTAAAAAAATTATTCAAGCTATATAGATCATCTGTATTAAAAATAAATTGCTTTCCTTCACTGGGAACTCTTTTCACCTTCCAATTATAATGCAATGTTTAAGATGCCTACCAATCTTTTCTAATTTATATACAATTTCAGCTCCACTGCCAAATATGATTGGCAAAGAAGTACTATTGATGCTTCCCAGTTGCTTTTTCCCCACTTCCATCTTTTGTTTTGAAATGGCTTGTTTCCTCCATTTCTGGCCCTTTAATATGTTGCTTTCTTTTCTCTAGTTATGAACAGAGCATTCCTGAGCCAAATCTTAATTAGCCCATTTTTGTTCCTTGTGGGATGGTAATAATTACCAGCTTCTTCTTTTCAGAGAAATGATTATTTGAATTATTATAATTGAACGAGTTTGATCACAAAATTTCTTTTGAATATATGTGGGCCAAAAAAAGAAAAAGAAAGAAAAGAGAAGAGAAGAAAAGAAAGAACAGTAGCTTTAAGAAAGAAATATGTTTCTCCTCAGGAGAAAGTAGAAACTATGCAAAATGATGGAAAGGCACCAGGCCCATATGGACTTCCGACATAATTTTATAAAACATTACAAGAATCGTTGAATCTTCCATTGCTAGAAGTTATGAATGAAGTTATGTTAAAGAAGAAGATACCTAAATCATGGTCAGAAGCCTATATTACACTTATTCCAAAAGAGGAGGCTGACCTATTACAAATTAAGAACTATAGACCCATTTCTCTACTAAATGCAGATTATAAAATCTTTGCTTCAATATTGGCAGAAAGACTTAAAAATATTTAAATAATTTTATCCATCCTGATCAAAATGGATTTCTGCCAAAGAGACAAATTAAAGACAATATGAGAGTCATCTTGGACACTTTGGAATACTACGAGGCACATCCTGAAAAACAAATGGCTCTGATATTTCTAGATGCACAGAAGGCATTTGATAACATGAATTGGCGATTCATGTTATTACTGTTGGAACAGATGGGTTTTGCTAGAAAATTTATTCAAGCAATAGAAGCTATATACTATAAGCAAATGGCAAAGGTAATAGAGGGAGAACTGACAGACTCTATCAATATAAGAAAAGGAACAAGACAAGGGTGCCCACTATCACCTTTGTTGTTTGTGTTAACTTTGGAAGTGCCAAACAGAAATATTAGAGATGAAAAGAATATAAAAGGAATGAAAATCAAAAAGGAAGAATTTAAGCTGCAAGCATTTGCAGATGATCTGGTTTTCATCTTAGAAGACCCTTTAGAAACAGCATCAAAATTGATAGAAAAGATAGAGACATATGGAAATGTGGCTGGTTTGAAAATAAATAAAGATAAGACAAAGATCTTGACAAAGAATATGCTATTAAGACAAAAGGAAGAACTGGCAGACCTATTGAAAATTCAGGTCACGAATAAGATTAAGTACTTGGGGATATATTTGACAGCAAGATGTAGTACATTAAAAGAGAATAATTATATCAAACTTAAACAGCAGATAGCGCTAGATTTGGCGAAATGGGAAAATTTACAACTGTCATTAATAGGGAGAATTTCAACAATCAAGATGAATATATTACCCAGAATTTTATATTTGTTTCAAACAATTCCAATTAGGCTTGGAAAAGACTACTTTGAAGATTTAAATAAAATTGTGTTGAAATATATATGGCAAGGTAAGAAGGCGAGAATAAAGTTAAAACTTTTGCAAGATGCTAGAATAAGAGGAGGATTTGGTTTGCCTAATTGGGAGTTGTACTACCAAGCTACAAATCTGATGTGGGTTAAGGAATGGATAACATTAAGAAATACTAGATTGTTGACATTAGAAGGACATGATTTGTTGTTGGGGTGGCATGCTTTTTTATGGTATAAAGCAGGGGTCCCCAACCGCCGGTCCGCGGACCAGTACCGGTCCGCGGAACAAGTCTTACCAGGCCGCTGGTTGCTGGGCGCCGCCATCTTTTTTTGGTAAAAAAGTGCTTCCGGTGAGCTTTTCCAGGTAGAAAGCTCACCGGAAGCACTTTTTCATCAAAAAAAGATGGCGGCACCAGCGCTTCCGGTGAGCTTTTCCGGGTAGAAAGCCATTTCTACCTGAAAAAGCTCACCGGAAGCGCTGGCGCCACCTTCTTTTTTGACGAAAAAGTGCTTCCGGTGAGGTCACTGGAAGAACTTTTTCGTCAAAAAAAGATGGCGGCGCCCAGTTGATGCCGGTACCGGGCCGTGGCGCCCAGCTGATGCCGGTACCGGGCCGCGGCGTCAAAAAGGTTGGGGATCACTGGTATAAAGGAACTAAAACACAGGGATATTTTAGAAGACATTATATACGGGAGTCTCTGTGGTTAAACTGGGAGAAGATTAAAAGACAATGTTATTTGAAAATTCCAGTCTGGTTATCGACTATTGAAGCATTTTCTTATCCTATAATATACAAAAAGGAACAAACAGTTAGATATGGTGAAATATTGAATGAAAAGGGTGAACTTAAATCTATGCAAAAACTAGAGGAACAAGGTATAAAGGTGAATTGGTTTTCATATGCGCAAATACATTCAAGGTATGATAAAGATTCTATAACAGAAGGTTTCTATGATAAACTGACTGACTTAGATAACAGGTACTGACAGGTACTGATGAAAAGGTGATTAAAAAATTGTATGGATATTTATTAGAAATTAAACTAGAAGAAGAACAAGTTAAAGAAACTATGATTGCTTGGGGGAAGAATTTTGGATATGGGATCGATTTAAAGAAATGGCAAAAATTGTGGTCTCAAAATTATAAAATGACAATGTCAACAGCATATAAAGAAAATTTGTATAAGATGTTTTACAGGTGGCATTTTCCCCCGACAAGAATAGCAAGAATGTTCAAGAATAAATCCGAAAAATGTTGGAAATGTCATCAGACACCTGGCTCATATTACCATATGTGGTGGACTTGTGCGGATGCTAAAAAATACTGGACTAAAATCCACATGTGGTTGGAAAAAATGCCAAAAAAATATATAGACTTGAAACCAGAGACATTTTTATTGGGAATTTTACCTGAAATATATAGTAAAGAATTGAAATACCTGACTGTAAATGTATTAACAGCAGCTAGGATTGTATTTGCTAAAAACTGGAAAAATGAGAAAATACCATCACAGAAGGAAATCATTAAGAAAATATTGGAATGTGCTGAAATGAGTAGATTGACATTTGAAATTAGAGAACAAGAGGATAAACAATTTTATAAAATTTGGGGTCTTTTCTATCAATGGTTAGACAATAAAATACAGTAATGAAATATGTAGACTTTTAGAAAATAATAAATATATAAAGATGTACTTCTTTCTTATTATATCTACAAAATGATTTTAGGATAGATTTGGGATGATAATATGAACTGTTATAAAATAAACTAAGTAAATTATGATTATCTTGTAAAACATGAATGAATAAAAGTATAGTCAAATGATTGATTAATAATGATACTAAGGTATTTAATTTTTGATTGACAATATGAAATCATATGCAATGTAATTGTAATTGAAGACTACGAAATGGAAGCACAAAACAATTTGTAAACCAACCAGCACACTGTATGTACACCTATGGGAGATAGCTTGATGTTTTTATGTTTTATTTGTTTATGTTTGTTTTTAAAAACCAATAAAATTTTTTAAAAAAAGAAACTACGCAATTATGAAATATGTGGATACACAAGCAAATAAGGAGGAACTAATTAAAAGTAACGAACACAACAAGCAGCATTTTTAAAAATATGGGCTGGAAGTCAACTACACAATCCAGATAAAGATGGCATTTTAGTTCACTGAAATGAGATCATGTTTGCAGAGTTCTCATAACTAGACTTTCTAAAGAGTGTTTGATTATGTGCCACACTAAGCCACTTTTTAAATTGCATGCATTTAAATTCACCCAGTGTCCTTATCTAGGTTCAGAAATGAAGCAGTTGGGTTACATACATCCAAGACTATACCCTATATTTGAATTAATAAAGAACCAACCCCTAAATAAGGCAATTACTAACCACTTCTAGATTGTTGCCACTTCTAGATTGTCTGTTCCACAACAGACAAACTAGACTTTGAAAAAGACTTTACATTTATTGTGGAAAAGTAGGTCATTTGTGGCTGAGAGACCATGTCTTGTTTTGGATGTTTATTCATCCAACTGAATGGGATATTTGCCTTTAATTTTATATACTTACCGACAGAAATGCATGTACTATATCAGCCTTGATAGAACTCAATGGTTTGTCCTTAATAACCACGAAGATCTGTTCTTCTTTCTCTAGGTTGATAAAATTACCAAACCAGGATTTTTTGGCAAGCCTGATGTGATGAGAAAGAGAAAGAAAGAAAGGAAAAAAAAATGAAAAGACCAATAAAAATTAGGAACAGCACAGAATTGTAGTATAGATCTTTCTACATCACAGAACAGGTATATTTTTTTCAGCCATGTCCCCATGACATAGCTTTCATCGCATCTTCATCCCATGAAGGAATCTGACTTAAATTTTTCTTAAATGTAATACTTCTACAGTAGCATTTGTTGTGACACAATCCCAGAGCAACCTCACAATAAATACAAGCTATTTCACTTTGTCACTTTGGAGGGACATCAGGTGACTGCAGTGATGGAAATATAGGCATCATAGGGAAGACTGTGACTGAAAATGGCAATAGCAAATTGCATGTGAGTGTAGCTTTCATACAATTTAAATTAGCCAAGATTTCATTACAGAGACCCTGGGACTACCCCTATCACCTAGTATCATTCACCATGTCAAAAAAACTTGTAGTTACACCTTAAATTTTTGCAGGTCAAAAATCAGAAAAGGAAGGTTTAGTATTATTTGTGAAAATTTAGCAGTGCACCTTAGTAATGGATATGGCTGTGAGGAAACTTTATGAGAAAGAAAAGCAGCTGGTTAAAGAAAAACACTGGTAGTATCCTTTAGGACTATTATTCAGAAGCCTGTCCATAGTTCATGCATCTTTTGCTTGTCCAGTATCCTCTAACAGATATGGTTTTTCTACCCTCTCCTCTCCCAAAACTCTGGGAACACACGCAACTAGTAGTGGCACTGTAGATTATTAACTATTATAATGCATGTTTGAGGTTATTTAGTACTCACACATCCCTCTATAGACAAAACGAAAACTAGTTTATAGTTTATATAAAAACGGAGGGGTTTGTGTGTGTGTGTGTGTGTGTGTGTGTAAAAGGGAAGACACATTTAAAAGAGCATGCATGCATTCACATCTCTCTCTTTCACTCTCCCCTCCCCTACTTTGCCTGACAAAACAAAACAATTACAGTTTGGTAAATCTCTCCCTTTCTCCATAATAGAGGCTGAGAATTTTAAGCAGTATTGCTAAAAATATCCACAAGCCAAAGATGACAATGAAGAACAGTAAAGAGAAAGGGCCACTTATTTAAGCAGGTTATTTCGAAATCTGAAGTAGAGCAATGGGGACACTATATATTTGATTTGATCATGACTTTCTGAAATATACTACTTGATTCAGGAAGCCTCAGAACACTCAAAGCATATTAAGAAACTGCTAAATCTGTTTTCCTCTCTCTCTCTCTCTCTCTCTCTCTCTCACACACACACACACACACACACACACCCTACACTGGTGTTTCATTTTTTTGATTGCACTTGGTCAATGGCCTGACATTTCCTTGGAGGGCTGAAGGGAAGCCCCCTTGTGGAGTACTGGAGTACTGTGAAGATGTTACCATGGCAAATCCACTGTGCTGTACAGTAGAAGCCATTTTAAGGCACCTCCCCTCCCGAAGGGTGTTATCCCTACAGTATTCATTTTCAGAGGGTAAGTCATCTGTGTACCAAGTTTGGTTGAAATTGCTCGAGGAATTCCAGAGTTATGCTGGAACATTAACACACACCCCCACACACACGCATACACCCCTCCATATATACATACATACATACATAAATACATACATACATACATACATACATACATACGTATGTATGTATATATATGTATGTATATATATATTTCCCAACAGAAGTGTTCTCTCCAGGATACTGTGTGCGTTTAAATGCAGGTTCATGGGTATAGATCAGATGAGCATTACTAATGGTTATGTGTATATAATTAACTGCCATATTGCATATATTTATGCTACACATTTTAACAACTATATATTTTTTTCTCCTATAGCATATATACACTTTCCCATCCATTGAGATATCTCCACCTCTTCGTGATGCTTTAACTCTTTCTTCTATTAGGGAAAATACCATGCTACAAGAAGATGCCATTGTAAGCATATGATTTATATCTACTCAGACATAAAATTGCAAGGGACACATTTATGTTTATTTGTAACAAAATAAATCAGTTGCACTGGAGTATAAAAGAAGGAATAAAAAGACTCTTGGCAGGATTGTATGATCTAGAATAAAGATTTTACATTTCCAGTGATGTTGCATAACCAGGAATTGTCTGCAATACAGAAAGGTGTTTTTTTTAATAATATACAAAATAGAACAGCTCCTTGAAGAATATATTTTTAACACGGAGGATAATTTAGCACTGAATGTGACAGAATAATAGCTTTAAGAACTTGTTCATCTCAATAAAAGCTCTTTTTTATGATTTATAGAGCTTTTTTTTTTTAGAAAGATCTAATTCATGCCGATAAAAAACAGAGGGTGATGGATGAGATGAAACCCTTTTTGGGAGATGAAGAGATATGATAATTTAGCTTAGAAAAGGCTGAAGTTGAAATCATTAATGTTGAGTCACATTAAAAAAAGCATCAACGAGCTTCAGAATTCTAATAAACAGCATACCCCAAATGCTGAAAAGGTGTTGAAATTAGCTCTAGATCAGGGGTGTCAAACTTAAGGCCTGGGGGCTTGATCCGGCCTGTGGGGCCACCCTGGAAACAGCGAAGGACCAGTCCGTGATGTCTCTGCTAGCAAAAATAGAGCTTGCGAGGGCTCTGGGAGGCCCTTCCAAGCTCAGTTTTTGCTGGCAAAAGGTTACAAGAGGCAGTCGCAAGCAGAAACAGAACTCAGGAACCTGTTTTCGCTGGCAGAGTGCTCAGGCCAAGTTGAGCTGGCCACGCCCTCCCAAGGTCAAACACAACCCTGATATGGCTCTCAATGAAATCAAGTTTTGACACCCCTGCTCTAGATGATCAAGGTGACATTTTACCCACCTCGGAAGGATGGAAGGATGGGTCAACCTTGAGCCTGGTGGGATTTGAACTGTCAAATCAGCGGTGGAATTCAATTTTTTTACTACCAGTTCTGTCGGCGTGGCTTGATGGGCGTAGCAGGGGAAGGATACTGTAAAATCTTCAGTCAGAGATGGCATTTGCCAGTTCCGGTTTGAACTACTCAAAATTTCCACTACTGGTCTCCAGAACTGGTCAGAACCTGCTGAATACCACCTCTGTGTCAAATTGCAGGCAGCCGACAGCTAGTAGAAGTAGCCTGCAGTACTGCACTCTAACCACAACGCCACCAAGGCTCATAAGGATCACCCTTTATTCAGATATCAAAAACAAACCCATTAACTATTAGACATTTCCAAAAGAAATACTGGCTAATCCAGATAACCATTCAACATTATGAGAAATAAGAACTCATTATTTAACTATAATCAGATAAAGTAATTTCATATTTTTCCTTCTCCCTCCTAACCATTCTTATATCCCATAAGTAAAATTCTGAGTTTTGTTTTCCTGTAATATCTTTTTTTTCTCTTGAAATTCTTATCATCTTTCAAGTCTACTTATAGTTTCCATTAGAACTCCAACCAATCTCTTCTATTTCAATTTGAAAGAATAATCCACAATGTCTTTTTCAAGTTTTGAATGATTATCCAGTTGCATTTGTGAATGCAGTGAATCCACCTCAGTTGTCTCCAGTTAGAACTGAAGAAGCTTTTTGGATGAGAAAAGAAACATTTTCAAAGTTCATCTTCAGTGGTAATGTCTGGTTCCAATAACAGGTTTAAAAGTCCAAACACTTCATAGGCCCATAATCAAATATTCCCTTTAAAGTAGCCATCTTGTAGTCTGCTAATCAACCTTGAAGCTTTTGTTTTATGGTTGATACATAAACAAGGCAGTTTCCCATACAAGAGTTTCTTTCTGTTCATTCTTTGAAAGACAATTTTCTTTCTGTTGAAATATTTGGTTTGGTTCTCAGTGTTTTGGGAGGCAAACAAAGTTTGATGATGTTCTGATATTTCTAAATATTGCAATCCCAGAAATAATGAAAATCACCAAAGAGAAACATTTACCTGTACCTGAAGAAAGTCTCTAACTGAAGAAGAAATTATAACCCCCAAAGTGCATTAGAAATCAGGAAAGTCAGTTGTAGTGCCTTTAAATTAAGACTTCAGTACAGCTATGAACTTGATGGAAGACCCTGCCTCTCTGTTGTTCAACTCATTTGCTGATCGGGGAAATGTCCATTTCCGTGACTTATTCATGAGAAAAGACAGTCTGGAGGATAGATGGGTTGATTTCAAATTCCCTCCTTAAGTTTGGTGGAAGAAAAAAAAAATGCTCCTTTGAGTAACTGGGGGCAAAGCAAACTGCAACACCATCTTGCTTCAGAGATGGTTAAAGCATCATTTTCCTAACTGGAAGCTGGATAGCTAAATTTAACTCCTGTCCACTTATATACTGGAGTCCCGTTGGTGGCTACATGGTGGCTTTTAAATTCTTCACAGCAAGGATATATTTATTTTTTTCAAATCTATGTCAGATATGTTCCCAACTTATCTTTTGTACCTTGTTCCTTAGTTGACTCAATAGATAAAGGATTATTAGTTCCATTTTTATATTCAATCATGCATCGATTATTACAAAGAAAAGTCATTCTAATGTTTTTTTTTATATTTTAAAAAGCTGTATTGAATACAAAAGATTAAAATATACAAATATGGAAAAGTAAAAAAATACAAAATTGTACAAATAAACATCACAACACATTCTATAATGAAACCAATCATGTTTTCCTCTAGTACAGTTTGATAGTGATTTAAATATTTCATAGAAGGTATTGAATGGCAGTTACTTCCTGTCCTTGTAAAATAACTATATTAATAATATATATTACATATTATAGATTAATACACTACATTATTACACATGGATAATAACTATGTATTTTTATAAATAAGTCACTTATATAGCTTAATCAAAACAAAAGAGGAATAGAAACTCATGTTCTATAATTTCCTATCCTTTAACATATATATAGTAGTATATTTCTTAAAGTCCTTATTTCTCCTTATTTTATGCACTCTTTTTTAATGATCTATCCAATCGTACCATTTATCCCAAATCCAATAATATTCTGTGTCATCTTTTTCTTTGAATTTTAATGTAAGCCTCTCCATTTCAGCACATTCAAAAATTTTCTGAATAGTAAAATATATAGGTGGTAAATTGGGCATTTTCCAGTAGTATGCCAGTGAAATTTGTGGCGCTGTTAAGATATGAATAATCAAACACCTTACTTTAAATGAATAGTCCCCTTTAATTATACCCAGAAGAAATAATTCAGGTTTCCACTCCAATCCACCTTGGATGATTTCCCCTATCCATGATTTAATCCTAATCCAAATTTTTTTGACTTCTGGACATGTCCACCAGAGATGGAAGAAGGTACCATGATTTACCTTACATTTCCAACAGATCGGATTTTCTGTTGGATACATTTTTGCCAATCATTCCAATATTTCAAGAGGATACCTAAACAAATCACTAGTAAAGGATCTCATTTTTATAAAAGAGCAAAAACCAGATTTTGAAGATTTTTTAAAAATAATACAGTCTGCAAATATAATGATCATTGGATACAGTGTTTGTGATTACATTATTGCATATTCTTCACAGAGAAAAATATTTGAAAAATATTGAATTTCTGAGTACATATGCAAGATAACTTTTCTTGCCTTTATGTACTTTATATAAAATATTCATGCAAAAAAAAAAAGAGAGAGATATTGGGAACAGGAGAATGGTCTATCATCTGAAACAACCACAAAGAGCTATTAAAGTGCTCAGGTGGAACATATGATATAATATTTTTTTATATTTAACTTTATAATACTGAATTAAGAATGAAAAAAAAATAACATGCTTCTCTTGAGGATTCAGTATGATCAAATTATTTAGCTTTATCTACTGGAGAAGTTATTCATACTATTAAATGTATGAAAACAGAAAAAATCCCTAAGGTCCTGATAGTGGAATCAGATTGATACTATTTTTCATGTCTATAGTTCGATGCTTATGATGATTTTTGGAACTGATAATTTTCAGTAATCTTTAGCATAATTATATAACTGTGATTTTGAAGATCGGTAAAGATTTTGTGGTGACGTCCAGAACTGAGATGGCAGATAGCTTACTTTTAAGCATCTGACTGAATTTTATTTTGCATAAATATATGTTTGTGTCACTAGCCTAGAGGTGAAGAGTCTTGCCTCCCACTCGGAAGGTTGAGAGTTCAATTCTAGGCAGCGACAGATGTTTCTGTACCAGGATTCAAAGAAAAAATATCTGCTGTGAACATCACACAGGTGTCAGGAGGGGCATCTGGCAAGTACACGCTTAGCTCCACTCAGTCACCCACCCTGAAGCAAGGAATTACAGGGTCGTAAAAAGGAAAAAAAATGTTTGTGTCATTAATACACTTAAATATAAACACACACACACACACAATACCATTTTAAGTTAAAATGCTCCTCTCTCCACCTAGCTTTTTTATTTTACATTTTAGAGAGGATAATTTAATTCGAGGAAAGAGAAAGAGGAAGAAAAAAAGCAAAAGGCAATAGTAAGATTCAGAAGAACATGAATTTATAAATAAGAGATATCTGAAAATATCAAATTAACACTAAGAATTAACCTAATTAATTGCCTACCTCATCTTTGAACATATTAATAAGATTGTAAAAAAAAATACTAGTCCTATTTAGATGTGCAATCGTACAATTAAAATTATTCATAGCAGAAACTGCTCTTTCATCAGTTATGATACGTGTCTTTAGAAATCAGCATATTAGATGAATGTAAAGTTGTAATTTAATTGTACACCACCCAGAGTTGCTCTGTGAATGAGATGGGTGATCTCTAAATTTGATACATAAAAGAGATAAATAAAAATTTAAGGAAAGGGAACTCAAGAGTGAAATTTCCTCTAGACACGTTTCCAATGCATAGAGATAGGGAGGGTTTGAGGATTATGAAAAAGTGAAGTGGAACTCTGAGAACAGGGCTGCTGGGTCCCCCCGTGGAAATTCAAATTTCATAGCTTGATTAAACTGACTATTGATATTGGAAAGAGATTTAAAAATGTTTTGGATGGAAATATTGGTTTACTACTTATCATGGATAATACCATCTCAGGTTGTATGATTTTTTAAAGTTATTTTTAAAATGGATACATTAATGCAAAAAGAGATGGAGCCTTCACACCAAAACATATATAAAATATATTCACTTAATTTCTATTAATTTGTCTAGGCTTGTCCACAAATAATTGGCACATTATCTAGACATATTAAGATACAATATCCAATCATCTAAACCATTAAACAAAACAGATACATTAAAGGATGCAGCCACAGACAAAGGAAGTACATTCATGTTAAAATTTCAATCATGGGTCCAATAATTCATTGAAACATCCTGTTGGTAAAGCAAAAATAATACTAAACTCCAAAGTGGCCACGGATATAAAGGCCTCAATGGCTGAAATAAAAATACAGTTCATTATTTTTTACAACTGCTATTATGTTTACTGCAGGGTGCTATCTAATTGAACTCATTAATTCAGCAATTATATCGGAGAGGGGAAAAGAGCCAGGGTTTGAGTTGCATTCAAACTGCCTACTAAGATTCCTTGACTTCTATCCAGCATCTTTAAAATGAGAAGTGCAAGAAAAGGAATTACATACATGTTTCACATACTGATAAAAAAAAATCCCCAAGACAAAGGAAATGAAAGAGAGAAGACCATGTTTAAAAAAATAATCAAGAGACCACTTATATTGGGAAAAAATGGTTTATTTTCTACCATTTTCAATATTTTCCTACTTTTCTATTCCACTACTATTCATTGACAAGTTAAAGATGACATTTTGTATGTAAATACAATAATTGCCAATAATCCATCTGCTATGGATGCTGTAGGAACCCCCATTCCTCTCAGATAATTATTTGCAGGTAAAAATTTCAAAAGGGCATTTAGATACAAAGCTAGTTTGTAACATCTTAATTAAATGTACACCAGGATTAACTTCTCATATTCTTGATGTGTTAGCATTAAATATTTGTAATCAGCTACTTTTATTTAAACAGTAACTTACATACTCCATCATCTCAATAAGTACTATCAAGGTATACATTCTGATAGGTCCCAACTCAAGTGGCATTTTCTTGGCAAAAATCAAGAAACTAAAATGCATATGAGGGATCTGCATCAGTTCCAAATCCAATCTGGATCTTTGTGTTCCTACATTATCACTAGCTAAACTATTTAATTGGTGAACTGAGCTGATATATTTGAAATAACATTGAAGCATTTAATTAAAGTGCTTTGTTTCTGAAGAGCTTGTTGATAACCTTTTCCCATTTCTGATCTTCAGGTTTTTCGAGGGAAGGATGATTCAAAGCCTTTTCAGATCTACCTCATACAAACCCTTGAAACTTGTTGGTTTGGAGAGTTTTTTAAAGCATATGATTGTACAGATACATGCAACATGAAGAAACGCCGCGGCTGTAGAGAGGTTTGAAAACAACTGATTTTATTTGCCTTTTACATGGGAAGAGAATGAGGGGATTAGTGTTACTACAGACCCTGTAATACCTCAGGGAAGAGTTGTGATGCCAGCAGGAGTGAAATTGGTGGTGATATCAATTAATTATGAAAATGAATAATGGGTGAAGTTAAAGCGTTGCTTAAAATGTTTGAGGTTATGAGAAACGCTGGATATAATGATCAACCACTGTCTTTTTTATGAATTGATTTTTAACCACCGTATAGTAGACTTAGATATGATTCAGAAGATTACAAGTTGAATAGCATAATGGATATGTTTTTTCATTGTTATTATAATACACACCTCACTAATAGTTCACTTTGGGGTCACAAATAATTTTCTAACAATCAGATAGACAAGTGATCTTACCTCTTTCTTTGAACTATTGCAGTTAGTTTACTAAAAATATTCTTTGAAACATCAGAATTTCTAAAGTTTATGTTACCTATTTCCATATTTTATTGTAGTTTGCTATAAGCTACTGTAGGTAATTTAATTTGTTAGAAATGTGGGATGTACAATACCTTATATTGCTGCAATTTTTCTGTCAAATTCATTGAAATCAAACTAGCAGTGATATCTATAACACTAAAATAATTACTTACTCTGGGGAAGATTCTGGAGTTAAATTGGACATCTCTTCTGGCGTAGGTACTATATATATCCAGACACAGACAAATAGAAAAGAAAAGAAGGAAATAAAGTCTCCTTTACTCCATGAATATTACTCAAGCATTTGTGACTATCTTAATTTCTAATAATCTATGCTTTAAATTCATCCCAATGCTGCATTTAAATATAACTAACTTGAATAATTAACTTAGTTCTTATAAATTATATATTGGTGCTGACTTCCTCATGTAGCTCAAATATTTATGTTGACTGTATTATGTACAAGAGGCTCTAATATGCAGACCACTAAAATTTAGTGCATGATACATATGGCAAGAGCATCCTGATTACAGGTAGTCCTTGATTTACTACCACAATTGAGCCCAAAATTTATGTTGCTAAGTGAGAAATTTGTTAAGTGAGTTTTGCCCCATTTTACAATTTTTCTTTTCACATTTGTTAACTGAATCACTACAGTTGTTGAATTAGTAACACAACTGTTAAGTGAATCCGGTTTCCCCATGGACTTTGTTTGGCATAAGGTTGCAAAAGCTGATCACATGACCCCGGGACGCTGCAACCGTCGTAAGTATGAACCAGTTGTCAAGCATCCCAATATAAATCACATGACCCTGGAGATGCTGCAATGGTCATAAGTGTGAAATATGGTCAAACGTAACTCACTTTTTTCAGTGATGTTATAACTTTGAATAGTCACTAAATGAACTGTTGTAAGTCAAGGACTACCTGTACTTGTTAGAAATTGTATATTATTCCTGCTTTCCCTTGAAACCGAAGTAATCTCAAAACAGACAATATTTCAGTGCGGAACAAGCAAAGATAGAAATGAGCCAGTGCGGAATTCTCTATGCACTTATTTATTTAAACCAGTATTAGATTTGAAAATAGGGGAATCTTCATTGATAGGACATGCTTTTCCTATTTACCCTAGAAAAACAACAGTTGTGTCCTTTCATAAATTAAAGCAACCCTGGGGCCCTGGCAGATTTGTCCAGTACTTTATCTAAAGATTAGTGCATCTCTGCTCATGTGACACAAAAGAAAACTGAAAAATGGACTTTCCATTACCTTGTATGGTTCACAGGAAATTATTATTAGCATCTTTAAATAACAATGTTTTTACTGGGAATACTGTAGGTTTGAGTCATTTAGCAAAATTATTTGAAATTGCCAGTGATTTTTCAGACCACAATGGCATCATGATTAACATGCACCAACTGAATCATGAATCACACAAACAATTATGGATCGTTTACCTTTGTTCCAAAAAGGATATGCCATACTGGGTCAATGTGCAATGAATGCTATATGAATTCTACTACGTGCAAAAATATATTAGTCAGGTTGGAGTTTTATTCTGCTTCGTTTAGGACTTTTATGTAGGGTAATAATTCTTCACTTAATTATGATCCTTCTGTGCCATATAAGGGCTATGCTTGTTCAATTATATGTTTCTCCTGAATTTCATTACCTTAAGAATTAAGAAAACCTCCAAGCATTAGTAAACTTGTTTTAAAAAGCAGTGTTTCACCATATTCAACAGTGTTCACTGTTCACAAACACAACCATTTCAGTCTGGGGTTTTTGAGGGGATTTTTCAGTGCAATTGGTTACTTTTTGTTGTTGTTACATAAGACCAGTCTCTACAAGATTCTTAAATGGAAGAAAACTAAATGTAAAAGAAATATAATAAGCTTCTGAGTTTGGCCAGAATGTCTTTTCCATCATTCCAAATCTCTTTCTCTAAAGGGCATTTTGAATTCTTCATGAATTGTGGTATTATCATATAATGTAAATTAAAATGTTCATCTTTTTCAACAACATTCATTGACTGACTTCAATTTGCTTATGTCTAGGAATACAACTCAGTTATTGATTTTTGAAGTCTTGAGTCTGTGATTGAGAAAAATCAGTCTAAGACATAACTAAATGAATCCCATTTTGCTAAAATTTTCCTATTTTGCAAAAAGCCATTTATTAAGTAAGCACTGTAATATTAAGCATTTGTAATATTAAAATAATTTGGTACATAATCTTTTATATATTTATACAGGGACAAAAAGCTTAAAATACAATTTCCATATAATTCATTTAGATATCTTAAGATATCTTAAGATGATAATGCAAGTGAACTGCAACTTGCATATTTTGGAAAAAGAAGCCCAACAGCACATGATTGTCATCAGTCTATTGTTAGTTCCAGCTTTTCAGTTGGATCTATTTTCTTTCAAGCATTACAACTGAACTATAATGTACAAGTATCAAACCCAGGTTACACTTTTGTTTTTTTGTTTTTTGTTTGTTTTTAAAAGGTTGATTTTTCATTCTCAGGGTCATAAAAAAATCAGAAATTGAGTACTTATGGTTATTAGGACATATTTGAAAAACCACAGGAAGGTCATTATTTGAATAACAACAGACATGGCATAGCCAAGTTGTAATAAGGGAACTTTCATTTTTCCTGTCCATGTTTCATATTATTGTCACATATTAACCAACCCTTCTTTACATTCCTTTGTATTTTCCTCGTCAATCTTAAATTGCCATGGTTTTGAAAGATTTGTACCTTGCAATTTCCTGCGATGAAAGCGAGGCGATCCCAGAAAGCTGTTCTTGATTGAGTTGAGCCGTGTTCTCCAGGGCATTCCTCCAATGCTGGGGCTGGATGGCGGCGTAGGGTTAGGTGTGCCTGCTGGGCTCTCCTTTGGCGTATGAACAGGTGTCCCCTTGGGGGTAGGGAGGGGACTGCCCCTTGGAGAGGGGTGAGGGGTAACCTGTATGATGGGGATAGATTTGGTGCTTGGGTCAGTACTGGAAGGGAGCAACCTAATCGGAGACATAGGGTTGGTCGGCACCGTAGAAACAACCAGTTGTGGGTTACACCCAGAAACAGGTGGATGACCCTGAGTATTTTGTGCAGGGTTATTCTGGGATGGAGGGACAATAATATTATTAGAAGGGAGTGGGTTAGATTTGGTAGACTGAAGTGGTTTTTCAGCCAATTTGTTCTTGGAAGGCAAAGTTTGTGTCCTTGGGTTGGGTTGAAGTGCTGGCTTTGGTTGCAGAACATGTCCAGGTCTGGAAGTGTTCCTACAAGCATCAGAGTCCAGGGAGGGTTGGGGGCGGGGAGTGACGGGGAGATCAGGAATCTGAGGGGGGATGAAAAATTTTCTGAGAGGCTACAAGACACATACAGAGTGAGTATCCATGCACATCAAGAAAAGCAACACATACGTACACACGCATCCCATGGGTGAATGGAGAAAAAAAGCCCATTTCAGTTGCAATTGTGTGCATTACAAAGAGATATGAGTTATGGTGATGAGGGTAAAGGAGGTGGGGTTAAGGGTTTGCAAAGAAACAAAACACAAACACAAACAAAAAACATGCAGTTAGCTGGGAACACAGCATAATAAAAAAACAGCAGTAGCGGTAGTGAAAACAATTTTGTCACAAGCTTTATTATATTAACCAACCATGTGTCAGCAAAGAAAAATCACATAGCAAAAACAAATATGGAGGAAAACAAACTAAAAATAACAGGTCAGGGAGAACCAGGGAAGCTGTGCAGAGAAAAACTACCATAGTGGCAAATAGCTCGGGTGTAGGATGAGGGTGAAGATTTGTTCTCAGAGCTTGTGGGCTGGTTTCCAAACGTTTCATTACCAGACTAGGTAACATCTTCAGTGGAGTTTAGGGGATGTCAGTGTCAGTGGTGTTCTGTTTATAAGGGAACACTGACACTGACATTCCCTAAACTCTGCTGAAGATGTTATCTAGCCTGGTAATGAAACATTTGGAAACCAACCCACAAGCTCTGAGAACGAATCTTCACCCTCAAAAACTACCATATCCCTGAGCTGATCTGTATTTCACAGGGAAAGAAGGACAAGGTTGAAGGGAGGTGAGGACGGGGAAGGAGGACCATTCAAACCACAGCAACAACCAGCTTGTAGGTATATAGGCTGAGTTTGCCCTCTCCCAGATTAAAATGTCTACTACAACCAAACACAGCAGGGAAATGCAGATAAACAATAATATGTGTGCAACAGGTAGTCATAAAGGCCCATCAATTACTACATTTATTATTTCTCCCCATTTCTTTCAAAGGGACACCACTGTGTGTGTGTGTGTGCGTGCGTGCGCGCATGCGCGCATAAGCAAAAGAGAAGTATTCTTGCAGATCCTTTCCCTTCCTCCTTGACCATCTATCCAGAGAAAATAGTTTTGTTTTCTATATCAGGCTTTTCAATAGAAATTCTTCAGAGAAACATAGTGTTTAATTATGAATCCCCGCAAAGATCAACAAATTTAATTTACTACATTTAATTTACTGTGCTTCAGCCATTATTATGAATTGGCATAAAGCAAAAGGGACATTTTAAGATCAGGTCTTACCCAGAATCTGAAAATCTGGTCCAAGACTAGACCACACATTTCTATATTAAATTAAATGGGATTGCTCTTTCAAATTGCATGTGCAATGGGAGGTTTCAGAACCAAAATTTCAGGGATTAACTGTGAATCAGAAAGATGGCAAAAGCAAGAAAGCACTGTAATACAACAGAAGCTCTCAAATATTGTTCAATATCAAGTGCATTACAGCTTCATGCTCTAGGAACTTCTCTCTTTTTTCTATCCTACTCATTAAGTTCTCCAAAATGATGTATCTGTTTCATTGATCTGGGACCATACATATTGTTCAAAAAAATTGTAACAAAAAAGTGGCTAATTTATAACTTATCATCAAACAAGAATAATCTACATACGACCATCCAATTTTCCATTAACCTCGAGTCCATAATTGCTTTTCTCTAATGGTTTTGTAATACTTGAGAAGACAACTGCTGCTGATTAAGAAGGATGTCCTTGGCTTGCTAAATGATGAAAAAGGGCAAGGTAGCTTTGCAAGAGAGAATCCGCATTTCTCTCTTGGGACATTCTACACTCTTCACTTATACAGTCTCTTATTCTTCCTATATCATTCTTCTTTAATGTTACAGTTACTTTCATTTTCACACTAACAATTTCCTAATCCAACTTTGTATGATTCCTGTGCTGACTAGATTTCATTGTTTTTCAAAAACTGTTCAGCTGTGCTTTTCAGTCCCAAAGTAGCTCTAATTTTTATGGTTCAGTGCCTCGTGCTGAATTTGCAATGAGTAGCAGATGTTCTTCGCATCATGCCATAATCTCTCCAACAGTATTTTATAACTGCCACCATGCTAGGAAATAAAGCTAGGTAGCAACAATATAAGTAGGAGTGAGGCAGGCACAAATTAAACAATGTAATGCTAAACAATGCACGAACAAAAGATTTTTCACACAAGAATGTATATGTAAAAAATAATTACATTTTGGCTCTTTTTATCTCTCTGATCATAATATATACAACATACTATATGTACAAATAGTGCAACTTTTTTCTCACTGTAAGTTTCCTGGCTGACAAACGCACCCCTGAAACTATGGAAAATGTTATTAAACTTTCCCTAACTCAAATGAAGATTATTAAAATTATGACCTCCAAACAATTTCACTTACCCTTGGACTACTGAGAGGGCTGGTGGACAGGCCAGAGGAAGCTCCACTGATTGAACGAGACCTAAGTGGACACAAAGTCAAAATAAAATCCTGAGAAATCCCTGTTAAAAACACATTACACACGGCAGCTATTGCTATATTTAATCTCCATAAGTTCATGCCTCTATAAAGAAACCTCATATAGATCTGGCATATGCTTTCAAAGAGTACTTATCCACAAAGGAAGACAACTTTATTTTGATTGAAGATCTGCATAAAATGACATAAAAGTTCAGAGAGATGAATAGAATTCTTGTGCTACTACTAAGCTATCTAAATGATAAAATATGCTCCATAAAATATAAGAATGTAAAATCACTAATAATGTGGTTTGACCATAGTCTAATATTAATCAGAAATTCTGTATCAATTTAAGTTTTAATAAAGAAGAATAAAGAAATTACAACAGAAGGGCAGACAAAATATTTAACAGTGCTAAGTTTTTATAAGTAAAAATAGTGAATTATTTACTAAATGATACACCCACAAACTCCAGCTGAACAAAGCCCCAAATGTAGACATGTGTGATCTAAAGCCACTCAAAATCAAATAGGATAAGAATTAAATGGTGATTAGATAATAGTCAAAAGGCCAATCCACAAAGTTCGCCTTGCTAGTATTTAATGTTCTACTTTACATGCTACTGCATGTAGTTTACAAGAAGAAAAACTGGAACAATATTAAGATTCCTGAGAATATCATATACAGCCAAGAAAATAAATCAATGGATCATCTAACAAAATCAATCCAGAGTTCTCACTTGAGGCTCAAATGATCACACTCAAATTACCCTACTTCAGATATGTAAAGGAGGAGATGGATGTTAAAGTTATTTTCATTTAACAAAACAAAGTAATTAATAAAGAGAGGTCAAGGGAGCAGAAGATTTGAGGTTTGTGCATAGAAGCAGATCATGCATGCAAATTTAAAACAGTTATTTTATACACATGCATAGCCCATTTTTCAACCAAAGACTTATATTTATGTAGCTGTTTCTTCTGTGTGTAAAATTATTACAGAAACCGCTTATTTCCTACAACCTGGGACCCAAAGCTTGGGGAGAATTAGTCTCATAGGAAACATGCCTCTAAATCAAAATGCTTCTCTTCCGTAAAATGATCTTGCAGGGAAAAGAAAATCACCATATAGCAGCCAAATGTTCAAACAATTGTCTTAGTAACTTAAAGGACATATGCAAGGGGTTGTATTTGTGTGTTTGGGCCTCTCTCTCTGTGTAAAGTGATTTTATATAGGAGAAGGGAGGAGTAGTCCTTATCAATGCAGTGCTTTTATTTGAAATCCTTCTCTTCCCAAGGCATCAATTATTCTATAAACAGCCTGCAATGGTATGAAAGGAGGGCTCTTTTGACACATCATGAAACTTAAGGAAAAGTTTATACTAGCTGCTCACTGAGGCGAATGCTTTCAGGGGAACTTTAGGTTTCTCATGTGGACTGGATGAGGAAGAACCTACAGAGCCATCAGGGTGAATTATGTAATCATGAAAGATCTCTTGAAAGAAGGGAAAAAATTTGACCGGGAGATCAGTGCATCCAGTATACTACATTCTCTCCCATGTATATAAGCCTGGGAAACTGTGTGGGGAGGCAATATGAAATAGTGCTATGTACACACATCAAAAAATAATGGTTAAAATGATAAAAGATAACAGATAATCAGAGTTGGAAGGGACCTTGCAGGTCATCTAGTCCAACCCCCTGCCCAAGCGGGAGACACCATTTCTGACAAATGGCAGTCCAATCTCTTCTTGAAAGTCTCAAGTGATGGCGCTCCCACAACTTCTGAGGGCAAGCTGTTCCATTGGTTGATTGTTCTCACTGTCAGAAAGTTTCTCCTTATTTCCAGGTTAAATCTCTCCTAGTTCAGTTTCCATCCATTATTCCTTGTCTGGCCTACAGGTGCTTTAGAAAATAGCTTGACCCCTTCTTCCTCTCTGTGGCAGGCCCTCAAATATTGGAAGACCGCTATCATGTCTCCCCTGGTCCTTCTCTTTACTAGACTAGCCAAGCCCAGTTCCTGCAACCGTTCGTTGTATGTTTTAGCCTCCAGTCCCCTAATCATCCTGGTTGTTCTTCTCTGTACTTTTTCTAGAGTCTCAACATCTTTTTTATAATGTGGTGAGCAAAACTGAATGCAGTACTCTAGGTGTGGTCTTACTAAGGATTTATAGAGTGGTATTAGAACTTCCCTTGATCTTGATTGTATCCCTCTGTTAATACAATTTAGGATTGCATTAGCTTTTTTGGCTGCTGCTGCACACTGCTGGCCCGTCAAGAGATAGGGATAGAGAAAGTTTGGAACAGACAGTCAATAAAATTATCGGGGGGTGGGGGGTGGGGGGTGTAGAGGAAAGATGAAAAAGAGAAAGGCAAAATGTTTCTAAGTCTTCTAACATCTTCCAACCCTGTGAATCCATCATGATAAGAAAGAAAGAGAGAGGATGCAGGAGAAAAAAATCTCCACGCCCCCCATGTGTGTCTGTTTCTGTTTGTGCATATATGTGTGTGTGAGAGAGAGATTTCAAAATGGTCTTTTTTTGGGGGGGGGGCTTGCAAAATGAAAGCCTCCTCTTAAAGTATTCATAAAACTGTTCTGCCAAAATTTACAGCCTTGAAGTTATGGAAAGGAATGTATGCGTTGATATTTATCAGGCCCAATATTGTCTGCTCTTCCTTGCTGAATAAATAAAGAGTTATGTCAATTAATCTGTATTTAGCTACATATAAATGGTACATCAGATCTTAATTGACTCAAAGCTTATTTATAAAATAACCTCTGAACTGATCCAGGAATAAAATTTCAGTTCAGTGCCTGAAAACAAATAGCTATAATGAAGAAAATATGGATTTTACTCTTCACTAGATGAATACAATCTATATTTTCTTCGTGTATATTTTTCTATGTACGACATAGCTGTAATGAAGAAAATATAGATTTTACTTTTCATCTAGTGCTATCTAACAATGACATTTATAATTTCAAATGGATTATGACTTTCTGCATGTTCTTTTCCCTTCAGAGAAGAATTAAGACCAGTTTTATTTAAACTGGGGTGAGACCTTTCTCATGAAAGTGGCCTAAAGCAACATTAGGATGAAAGAACACTGATGCTGTGAATTAATAGAAATCCTGCTTTTTCAACAACTCCACATGGTAATCTATTACCATGCTCAGTAATCACACTGGGTGAACAAAAGGAAGAACAAGGCAGCAATCTAGTCTGAGAAAAGGGCCTTTCATCTATGCCATATTGATATAATTATGGAAAAAGAAATAGCCATTTCTATGTAACCTTTCTAATCTCTGGTGGCCTTTAGGTTCATCAAAGATTAGTCTTTCTCAAATGATTTTGATCATTCACATTTCTTACAATTAATAGACACTTTTAATCTGTGGATGAAAACAAAAATGTTTGTCATTTTACACTTTTTACAACTTTTGCAAATCCTTTGGAGAACTTCCTTAAAAGTGAGTGAAACACCCCTACGAACAGGAGGCACCAAATGAACTTCATCTTCTCAAAGGCTCAGGGCAGCCCCTGTCCATTTTGTTTGCACAGGTGTCTTCATGCCCAAAAGATGTTTCTTCAGTTGGGGCTATACACAAACACCTTGATGCTTTGAGCATCATATTCAGAATGTTAATTATTACTGTTCAAAAGAGCCCTCCAAATGATTCACAGGTACAACCCGTATTATTTCTTCTAATACACTCTGGCAAACCATGCAGTGTGATATAAATATTTTATTAGTACAACTTTATGACAGAACTCCACCGTTGATAAATGTTATAATTAAAGCAACTCCTCTAAGGAGAGGTTTGTTAGAAATTAGAAATATATAAACTGTTGAATTCATTTGCCTGCTTCATCCATTTTGCAAAGCTCACCTGTTCACAATAAAATTATCTGAAAAAAATCTCCTGGTGCTGAAGCTTTTCTTACACCCTTCCGACTTCTAAAGCCTAATGCTTAGTATGAGGTAGCAAAATATCAGAATCTCAGTCTTTCCAAGATTTCTCCAGATTAATTGCATGCAGTTTGCTTGTAATGTTACTTTATCCTTTGAGAAACTTTAAACAGGAGCTAATAATCAAAACAGATCAATATTTATGTAATAAACAAGGCATTTCAGTATTTTTTTAACCATTCAGAAAGAAGGTGGGAAGATATTTCTTTCTGTCTTATTTATAAAAAAATGGAGGTTAGCATATTTTTGTCTCTATAGTTAGTCCTTGACTTAGACCACAATTGACCCCAAAATTTCCATTGCTAAGCAAGAAAGGTGTTAAGTAAGTTGTGCCCCATTTTATGACTTTTTTTGCAACAGCTGTAAAGTGAATGACTGCAGTTGTTAAGTGGATCGTACAGCTGTTAAGTAAATCTGGCTTTCCCCTTTGACTTTCCTTGTAAGAAGCCATTTGGGAAGGTTACAAATGACAATCACGTGACTCTGGAACAGTGTAACAATCATAAATACATGTCAGTTGCCAAGCAACAGAATTCTGATCACGTGACCACGGGGATGCTACAACGGTCGTAAGTGTGAAAACTCTTCATGTCACTTTTTTTAGTGCTGTTGTAATTTTGAATGGTCACTATGATTGTAAGTCGAGGACTACCTGAACTGCACTTTGCCTTTCCAATAGAAAGTGGTATAATTTATGCAAAGAGAAATATTATTATTTTTTTAAATGTCATTGCTTGTTGTGTATTTCTATGTCAGAAAAATGAACACTTTTAAAAAATTTTTTACTTCTGTCATGTAGTATTAAAAGCAAAAATGCCAGAGCAAATGATAGTCATCCCATTCTAACAGCTTAAAGAAACAGATAAAATCTGTGCTGACTTGGAAGCATTGCCATCCCTTCTACCTGTAAACAATTTCCAATGCACATTAAAGCTATCCCATTTCTTGCACTTACAGAGAAAGTGACCTGCACACTTGCAGAAGGCACTTTCAGGCAAATGTTGCTCAGCTTCAGCCAGTAAACAGTTGAACAAAGAGGATATGCCAGTCAAACTGCCCTCACCCTCTGCCTATAGCTTGCCAACAGCTGAGTTTATTGTTCTCTGAAACAGTTCTAAAACCCCATCAATAAACAAACAATAATTCCCCTTCTTTCACAGAGAAGAAGAAAAATTTCTAGCTGAAATCACCACCACTGCCACCGCCGCCATTTATTAATTGGTTCACATTTTGAGGTGATGTGTGAATAGTGCCCAAAGAGAAGGAACTGGTGTGATGGACTACAATGAAGTGGCAGTTTCCCAGGAAAGAGAAGGGTGGAGGGAGAGATGAGGCAGCCCAACCCAGAGATTGATAAAAGACAGAGTAAAAGAGTAAGAATAGCCATTTCCCAGGCTATATCCATTAGGGTGAGAGCATAAGGGTTTAGTCAGGCAAGATTCTGTCTCTTGTGTGCAAGCAAATGAAGAACTGAACTCTGAATGAATCATTCTGCATCATTCTTGGGCTTAGCCTGACTGGCGTGGACTTTGGGTGTTTTTCATGCTCATTTAAGTAAAGGCTAAGAAGATGAAATCAGATGAGGATAGGATTCTCTCCAGCTTATCACAGGATCTCAATTTCTTACATACGTGCCACAGGTATCAGAAGTTTCAGGATTAAACAAATATAAAGCAACTGTTTATTGTTGCTTTCCTCTTTTTTCTTCAGGAAGAGCTTAGATAATGGAAGCCCTATAAATAGGTAACAGTGAAAGTGAAAAGACAGAATTTGTAACCACAGTGTAAGTAGGGGAGTGAAAATCCTTCCCTCCCTTGCTTAACTTGCAATCCTATTGGGAAGCCAGAAGACACAGCCTCTCTTCCTTAGTCCTCTGGTTTAAGCTCCAATTGCAGGTAATTCTGCATCACTACCAATTCAATTCTCTAGTCCCACAAAACAAATATAAAGTTGGCCAACATTTATGTCCATTGATAATAACCAAAAGATGAGGCAATTTCTTTTTCTCAATCAGTACCTTGCCTCTTCATGGCTTAAATTGATTAAGGTGCTCATTTCATGGGAATTTTTTTTTAAATGCAGTTGCCACAAAGAGGAGTTGCAAATCCACAAGTTGCACTGTCCCTGAACTACAATTAGCGGAGTAGTTAAACTGTAGAAGGAAGTTAGGGAAGAGGAGGGCTTCAGCCTAGGAACAAGGAGGGTCTCACTAAGAAACTGCCTACTCTGAAGTACTTTATCAGTTCTAACAGGACAGTGCTTTGACACACCACAGTTATTATGATATGGGGCACAGGAGGAAGACCCACAGCCTAGGCAATAGAGGCAGCTCAGTCCACAAGTGGGAGGAAAACATAGGAAGCATTTTAGAAAGGACCCTTCCTAATTTTCCAGAAACTAAAGAGAGGATGGGAAAAATATTTTCATCTTGCAAGATTCTGTTTCATGTAACTTTACAATAAAAATAGTGTTGATTCACTTGGTTGTACTTCCTATCTGGACAACCTCAAAGGACCAACAATCTCTCACTGGAAAAACAAATTCACTTGGCCATTAAACAGAAACAACAACGTAAGACTACACAGGTGTGGAGCTGATTTTATAGAGGAACAAGGCTGTATCTGGAGGTGCCCAGTAATAACCCCTGCTTAGGTATGACTTAAAATTGAAAGATGGGAAGGAGCTGCATCTATCTATGTTGGCACCAAATCTTCCAGTTGGTGTTGACTATTGTTATATTACTGCTTCTCACTCTCAAATTATACTTTCTTCATAACTCTAGTCTAGATAACGTAGAAGAGCAAGTGTTGGAGAGTCAGCAAAAATGAAGTTTGGGGAAAGAGAATAAGTATGAAGGAGGAAAAGATCCAAAGCAAAGGAGAGACTGCTGACTAGTAATGGCAATTTATTTCTGACTGCTGCTGATAGAGTCCCCACTCCAAGAAAGCAATTAGAGCATTGCCTTCTATTAAATTTAACCAAGGCAGGTTCAGGACATATAAAAGAAAGCCTCTTTCCAAAGTTGAGTTCATTGAATAAGTGAACAGAGAAAGGAAACTGGAGTTTGGTTGGGGAAATCATCACAGAGAAGCTTGTAAACTCCCCTCCCACTATCACTTTCATAATTTTTGAGAAGTCAATAGCAGTGTGAACAATTCAGGTGCTTTGTAAGGGTGCTTTGCATGGATGTGTATGACATTCCACAGGAATTGAGAAGTTTTCATTTCTTTCTTCTTTGTTCATCTGAGAAGCATGGGAAGAACTGCTGTTGGGACCTATAGAAGACATGTCATAGCTGTTTCATTTGATAAAACACCAAGTCTTACATATGATGACCCTCCTGAAAGAGAAGATGAGAGTGCTGGAGCTAGAAGTAAACCTGTTCATCTCTGATGTCCTATTTATCAGGGAAAATGGACTGAATACAAGAAACATTTGGAGAGAGACTATATAGTATATCAAGAAGTCTTCCAGAAGATAAGAAGAGGGGAAAGGTGGAGGAGACAGAGAAATGAAGGAACAAGATTAAAAAGGACCAAATATGTCAAGGAGAGCTTTTTCTTTGGAGCTTCAAGAATAGATTCCACAATTATTCTTTTGCAAAACAAAGCAAAAACAAAAAAGTAAATGCAAACCTAAATTGCATCATTAGAAACGTAGTCTCAAGGTCAAGAAAACTCAGAGTTTCTCTGTATTCTGCCTTAATCATACTGCAATTAGAACATTGCATCTAATTCTGGGCAGTATATTTTAGACGTACACTGACCAATAAGCCCATGCTCTGAGGAAAGCAATAAAAAACAAGGAATATGAAAGAAAACACCTATGATTAACTGTTATGTTTAGCCTAGAGAAGATGTGATAATTCTCCAACCATCTAAAGGGCTATTATGTAGAAAGCAGTGATGTTCCAGAAGATAAGAATCAATGGGTTTAATTACACAGAAACAGGTTTTAATTGGACCTCAGAAAGAATTTTTAATGGTAGGAGCTGTTCAACAATGAAACACTGCATTATGAGGTGATGAAATATACGAAGAGAGGCTGATAATCATTTGTTGAGGATGATACAGTAGTATATTCCTTTAGTGGGCAAAGAATTGGACAAGATGATCTTCAAGATTATTTCTAATCCTTACTTATATGATTCTGTGAAAAGGGACTATACTGTTCTGCTAAATAAGATGACTTATAAATAATACTTTTCTGCTCTTTCCAGACCTCAGTTGCCTTCTTCCAACTGGCACTAGCTTGTACAAGTTCTGGTAGTAGTGCAGTAATACAGGCAAACTCTGTCCACAGCCTGGAGTTCTATCCTGACTGGTTCAAGGTTGACTCAGCCTTCCATCCTTCCGAGATTGGTGAAATAAGAACCCAGACTGTTGGGGGCAATATGCAAATAATGCCTACATTGTAAACTACCCAGAGAGTGCTGTAAAACATTATGGGGCTGTATATAAGACTAAATGCTATTGCTATTATAAGACCTCACATTAAATTTTCTCTTATTCCACAATCAGTAAGATAAATACAACGTCAGGTAAGGAAGCACACACTCCTGTGAGCACACACACCCCTTCCATCAAAGCATTGTACTAAAATATTTCTTCCTGAATTATTTTTGATTGCACAATAATGAATGTTTACACTGGGATCATTGCAAGTAATCTTTCCCCCCAAATGAGAAAAGATTCTACAACAGGTATAATTGAAAATTGGAGCTTACCCCAAGGTGTCAGCACTCGTCATCCTTGGCAGAGGGAAATAAAAAGAGAAGAAGAAAAAAAGAAAGGGAAATGGAAACAGGTGGAGAAAAGAGTATGAAAAGCAGAGTGAAATACTGTTCAGAGAACTGTTCATGGTCATAATTTCTTTGCCACAAGCATCTCTTGCTGATGAATGTGTGATTGGGGAATTCTTATGGTAAGGGAGAGTTTTATAATACACAAAATTCCCATGCTGCTTATAATTTTAGAATTGGGACAAGTAGAGTAAGTAAATATATATATATATAAATAAATATAGCTTGTATGCTCTAAGCTGAAGAGCTGGAAGTTCATTTTGGATCAATTGCTTTTTTGAAAGCATATCATTTGTTTATATATGGCAAGTTCTACTGTATTTATCAAACACAGCTGTGGATTTCTCCACAATATGCTCTTTAATATTTTTTCTACCCTAGAAAGATCGGTTTTGGAAATCTCTTTTTCCAATCGGTATGCCTATAACTGATGTAATGTTAAATGTGTTGATCATAACGACAAACACACCTGAATGACAATGCATGCCCAGTAAACAAAATTCTAACTGAGGATGCAGCATGGGAAGTTTCTTTATGAATACAGGATGTGCAGTGTAGCATGACTCTCCATTTGATATTCCTCTAATAATTCCAAACATATTGTATCTCAAATTCCTAATACAACTCTTACTTTTTCCTGACTTGTGAGCTAGAATCCAATATTTGTATTAAAATAAAGTCATGGATTATAAAAATTACTTTCTCTGTTGGAATGCTACTTGAAGATAATAAACTATATGCTGAAATAAATGTGGTAAGAGGAGCATTGGAACTGATTATAATTTGGACAACTTATATTTCTGCCCATTTGTTCATTTTACTACTACTCAAGTCAGAAATAATAGCAGAAGCAGCAATGGTTGCCTGTAGTATGGATTAACCCTGCTTGCATATTTTGTATTTATTCCTATATTCTAATTTCACTGCTCTTTTCTCATTTAAATGTTTTAATATTAGATTATCAGTTTACTTTCAGCTAAGATAACTAACCTTCTCCTTGTATACCCCAACCCACCATCTAACAAAATTTTTATAGAGAATGATCCAAATACCAAGCACAAAAGACGCACACTTTTTGCACATTTATTGTAGCATACAATGCATTGATTCTTCCTGTGCAAAATGGAAAGTGTAAAGAAATTCTGAAATTCAATTCAGAAATGAGAAACAGAACATGAAATAGGGGTGATTGCTCTAGGGCATGTGTGTCAAATTTGCTGTATCACGTTGCTGTCAAGTGACAAATTGTGATTTTTTTTCCCTCCATGGAGCTAGGGTGGGCGTGGCCTGCACATAACCCATCCAGCCCACGGGCCACCAGTTTGACAACCCTGTTTTAGGGCATCCCAGCTCTTCCTTTCTGGTCCTTTAGGAGGCTGCGACCTGATATGGGCTTCCATTCTTTTTTATTCTACAAGAGCTATCTGTATACAAGAGATGGTAAAATAGGATATTGAGCCAAACTGAGCACTTTGAGCTAAAAGAAACTTCTTGTAGGTTGAAGAAACTACATTCTTTAAGTATTTCTGATACAGATCTCTTCCCCCATTTATTTTCTTATTTGAAAATAAATTTAGTTTTAACAGTTGTTCTTTATTTGCTTATATCAATTAGTTAATTCTTTACATTGAGGAAAATATTTGTGTGTAATACTGATACGATCTTAGGAAAATTAGATACAAGTTAACACTGACCATGTATAGGGAAGAATACAAAAAATTAAGAGTACAAAGAAATGCACACATTTTTGTATTTTTCCCTAGGCAGGGTATGAGAGCACCAGTTTGATATTGCAGGAAGGAAGGTGGGTAACGATGGGCCAGTCTTTTTCTTTCAAGGAAGCAAGTAATAGTGAACCATTTCTAAAAATCTTGCTAAGAAAACTGCTGAAATTTGTCCAAGTAGATATCATGAGTCAACATTGACTCAAACACCCACAAACACAAACACACACACATACACACACACACACGTAATGTATAATACACAAACATGATATCCTGTTGCATGTATACACAGCAAGACGTTTATCAGAAAATGATGTTAAATGTAGATACTACCAGTGAAAATCCGAGTTGTTATCACATCACATATTAAAACATAAAAATGGAGAATGACTTTTTAGCTTAGATGATAGGTCTATAGATATTTCTCAAAGAATTATCAAGATTTTTGCAAGTACTATCACTATCAGATGTTTGCAATATGGGAACCTCAATAGGTTTATATAAATTGTGTAAGTTGTATAGATTTGGTATGTTTGTTTTGTTGTTTTGTTTAATTAAACAAGTAAACAAATTACATGAAACTTGTGAACTTCTTAAGTGTGCAGTGGACACTATATAGGGACAAACATGAGATTATGATATATAAGAGAGAAATATAATTATAATCATATCTCTATTTCATGGATAATCTTCAAATGGAAATGTAGATTTTTGGCTGATGTCAGGGGTACAGAGACTGAGAATCCACACTCACATGAAGCTTCAAAAGCCTTGAATGTAGATCCTTAGAACAGCTCAGTTTGGCCATCTGATTTTTGTAATTTTATTGTGACAGAACCTATAGAGAGTAATATTAACTGCATCAGTGATATGCAAAGGCAAACAATACATTGGGCTTAGTTTTTTGGTCCTGGGGCTAATGAAATCTAGAGCTGCAATTTAACAGCCAGTGTAGACCTTCAGGCCAATCTAAGTAACCCATATTGGTCAGATATGAACTGGAACCAAGGCAGACAATTACCAATTCAGATTATCTATCTAACACACTTTAAATTCTCTCTTTTGCCCGCTTTAATATATTGCCTGCCATAATAATATCCCTTTGGCAGAACGAATGTGCTCCTGTGATTTAAAGGAACATGTTCTTTAAGGACTTTTCTATAGGAACCTGTGCTCTACTGTCATGACTCCATGTAAGAGGTATTTCTGTTCTGGGGATGATTTTATTAACTTAATTCCACCCATCCATCCATTCATCCATCCATCCATCTTTTAATACCACTCAACTCTAAATGACTTTGCAGCTTTAACCACTTCAGAGCAGTTGCAAAATTTCTTATGGACACCAGTACTTTATGTGGGAAAATATTGTCTTAATATTAGAGTTTTAATTTTTTATGCTGTTTTATGTCTTTTTACCTGCATAACTGGATTCAATTTCAATTTCAGTTAAATTATGTCCCCCCCCCCCCAATTTGCCTTGTATTATTATTTCTCAGACTTGCCTGCTATTAGTTACCATTTCCCTGGCATACAATCCCTGGCATATTCTTAGCATACGGTCAAGTGTGGTTCATGAAGGGCACAAATTCTTTTTGTGAAAAATATTATTATTCAGAATACATTATTCATGAGGTTTTTCATGATGGTAAGTTTGATAAATAGCACCAAATTACAGAACTATCAGTTCATACCACTTTCCTAAGCGTAGCTAAGAACTGTCCACTTTTATTGGCATTGTGGTCCTTTCATTCCTCTCTAAGCTGGAATATTTAGCATTTAATAATTTTGAAGCAGCTTTCCCCACAGGTTGTCTCTGGTTTAAGAGCCACATGTACTAATGGAATATTTTCCTAGAACTGGAGTTTCTGAAAATAGATACCTTGACTTTATGTAATTTGATATAGTAATAAAGCATAATCCTTTGAAATAGCATGTTATTGTCCAAAAACTTGCTGGAGTATCTATCAATGTTAGAAATATGTTCCATAGGCCTCAGATATTATTACTGTTGTTGATTTTATGTTTTTCAGCACATGATAAGATCATATTATACTAAAAAATCATGGCCTGCACAACTTGTGGCTTTGCTTGTTATGTTCAAATGAACAATAAGATTAGACATAGTGATATACCATTAAGAGAAATCACTGCCCTGGAAATATGAGGGCATGATTTAGAAAGGTATACTTATTTGACTATTACTGCCAATAGTCATATAATACTGCATTTCACCTTTTTAACCCAAAGTGCATCATTTTAAGTTTTAAGCATTTTGCTACAAAACAACTTACTTTTGGAATATAAAAAAGCTACATTGGTTATCATAGCATAGAACTATTAACAACTAATGTTCCAAGTAAATATTATCTAGAAATTCATTTATGCCGATGACCATATGTCTCCACATATGCAGACATAAGCAATGCAGGGAAAGTAAATAGAAATATACAGATAGTTAACATGGACATACAAATGCTTAAAGGAATCTTAATGAGTTTTCCAGAAAAAGAAAGTCAGGAAGTGCTTTAACAATGCGAATGGATATCAAATTGACAATGAGGGATAGAAAGAAGCAAAATGAGTTATATTTAAATAAAAATAATTCCCCAAAAAAATAAACCTAGCAGCGCAGATATGTGCATTTCCTAAAGAATTAAAGCATGTGAACTACTGAGCCACAGCAACCCAGATATAGAAGAAGCACTAAAAGATCCAGAAGGAAGGAAACTTAAAATTGAGAAAGAGAAATAAATACAAAATGAAGAGAAAAATAACACAAGGTCAAGAGGGAGAAACAAACCAAAAAAACCCACAAGAGAATGACACTGAAAAGAATGCAACAATGAGAGTAAAAGAAAAAGAATGCAAAAATGAGAGAAGAAATAGGAAAAAAGAGGGCAGAAAGAAAAGTGGCCTCAGCTATCAAAACAATTGTGTGCATCTAGGAAGTCAAGATTCTTAAAGATGCAGTATTCCTCTTAAAAAATGAACCCATAAGGAAAGAAAAATTAAGATATTGAGCAGGTACCATTTCAAAGTTCTGATTCAGTGACCCAAGGAGATAATATTTCAGTTGGAGTTTCTTTCTTACATTAATTTTATTAGCCCTGTAATTCCTTAGCTTACTTTTTTGTGGTTGTTCCCTTAACCACTCTTTCATCAAGATACACAAAACCAAAAACATTTAAAAAAAACCTTGCCTTGTTCTTATGGTTTTCATTGGGTTCCAGCACCTTATTGATCTGATCAGGGCTTGGAAGCTAACTAGTTGGTTAACACTTGGGTAGAAGACTAATGGCAATCCCAAAATTGCAGTCCAGCCAGGGAAATTGATAAACAAGACTATGGCAAACCATTTCTGTCTCTGCGGCCAAGAAAACTGTGTGTCTATATGTCTACAAAATCTCCAAAATTCAAAATAAACTTGAAGATCATCAATCCTTTTCCATATTTCTGTATTTAAAAAGGATACTTACTTTTTAGCTTTTTCTTTTTACCTGTCATTGAGAAAACTACGTAGTCTATTTTAAGATATATCTCCAATCCTTATCAAGTAGGTCCTCTCAGACCCAGTGCTTAAAAGAAATGATCCTGGAAACTTATCAGTGCTTTGGACAACAAAGAGACATTGATAAGGACCCATTTTAGGGTAGTGGTTATGTGCTATCTGTGACTATTTGTGAAAAGGTTGGAACCTTTCTGAGAAAAAGGACTATTTGTGAAAAGGGGTTTTGCTGGTTACTACAACAAAGGATTTTACAGCAAGAGGAAGGAGGGGTGTGGGGAGCCATAAGGGTGGTGAGTTAGCACTGTGATCTGTCTGGCAAGAACTCTGAGCGTATAGTTAGGCTTTCAAAATCCTATTGTACTACAGTCACTCTGGGCTGAAATTTGCATCCAAGTATCTGGCTCTTGCAACAATGCTTAGGAATTCTCTGATGAATATCACATCAAACAGCAGCTCATTATTTCTCCCCAGCTTATGAACGGTTTATGAAATTTGGCAACAACCCTCCTTTCATCATAAAACAGAGTGCCTTGCTTGTTGCCAGACCATCCCATCTGCTGAGAGGCAAAATTCCTCTCTCCGCTTCTTTAAAATGGGAAGCTGATATAACTTTCAGAAAAGTAATGGAATGATCTTATAAAGCATTTCAGGGTGAACTTAAAGTGAACTAGGATTTGTGCAAGTTCACTTCAGGGAACTATTTTCAATATTAGATTTAGTACAGCACTGTGACAAAAAGTCTCCAAATCTTGCCTCTACAATATACTCAAATCATCATTTCCAAACTCAATATAAAATAAAGATGTTAATATAATTTTCAGGTCAGCTGTAAACATTACCCAAAAAACACCATGAGCTCATTTAAGCATTCTAAAGAAGCCTACAATACTTGTTGGTGATGGTGTCCCTGCTGTTGCTTTTTCCTCTACATTGCATATTGGCTGCATTAGCCTATGACTAAGGTGGAAATATTTTCTCTTTTTTCCTGTGCAGGTAAATTGACACTGCATAGAGTAAACTTAAGAGCTTCTAGATCAAAAGCTTTAATTTCAATACAGGACTGAACACAAGTATCACTCCTGAAAATAGCTTATAAATATGTAATTTTTAAAAAATTGTAGGTTTAAAAAAATAGAAATGCAATATACACGCTTCGCTTGTTTGATTTGGACTGTATGTTCTATGTTCAAAAGGCAGACTTGAAAGGACATAGACTGACTTAGAACTTTCTCAGACTATAGAAAAAGTTGTCGAGATGATTGGTTAAACTCAGAGCATGATTTTATGGGCATGTTAATTGGATCCCCTATCTGGCTAAATTTATGCATAGTTTTTAAAATATTAATGCTGGAAGAGTTCCTTAACATAATTGAAAGACCCTAAAAATATCAACAATTTTAAAAATTACAATGAAATCTTCAGCAGTCGAGTGAGGAAAAAAATGGGTTGCTATAAGATGTCATATATGTGCTGAAATCCTGCCTGTTAATATATTATTAAGGCTGTTTTCCAATTAAGAACCTCTGCCTCTTTGAAACAGCAAGATGTGGAGTGACCCCAGACTAAAGCAGTCTGTGAAAGAGAAAAGAACCAATTAACCATCATTAACTGACAGAAAGCTTGATCTTCAAAGTTCAAAGCTTATTCTTAAACATCAAGGAGACAAGCTAACATATTCTCTGTATCTCAGACAAGAGAGTCAAATGAAACTTATTTGAGGTTGGGTAAATGGTTCACTAGGGTCAAATTTGACTTTAATTGCCAATATGCATGGAAGAAGGGCAGTAGCAGAAGTAACAAGGGAGCTTAGTGGAATGGATGAAGCTGGGCTCACAGGTTCATTTTGTCCCAACTGAGATCAGCAACTTGGTCATTAAGTGAAGTGGTTGCTAACTGAAACTATGATGGTACTTAGCTTTCCTTTGATTTACAGATCTGTAGAGGTCATAAATGTGTTACTTTTTAACTGTAAATGGTCACTGTATAAGGCAGTTGCTAAATGAGGACCACCTCTTCTGATTCCCTATCCTTTTTTGCTTGTCATTTGTTGATGGAAGCATTTCCCCCTCCTTTCAGTTCATAATGGACCTCAGCTCTAGTGTGCTTTGCTTGATCTTGGAATCTTACAGCATAGACATAAACTATACAAAAATATCTGGAGACCATTAGGCCAAAATATATGCTATCGTGTAAAGGTGAATTAATCACTGGCTTGAGTTATTCTTTCCAAAAAATGAAATCAAATGTATCCCCAGCAGAAAAGGGAAGCACTGCATCTTTAAGAATAGAAGTGAGATAAAGGAGAGGAACAGATTGTTGGTGTTTTATACCTTTCTTCTTTGCTGAATGTGGGATTGGCTTCACAGATATCCAGGCTTTTACTGAACATTGTTTTACTATGGCAGGAACAAAGTAAGAAAAAAGAGTTACTGATCTGGACATTCATATGAGATTCACCTGACGCAGTCCCACCCACGCAAAGTTATCCCCCTCCCTTCCAAAAAATATCTATGGAGTGGAGAGCTACATTGCTTTCCCAGTTCTATTCTGATTCTGGAAGGTTTTAAGAGCTCCTTCCATAGAAGGGTGTAGCATATGGGTTACTGGGGAGGCTGGTTTTTTCCAGTGAAGGAGTAAACTAAAATTCTAGTAATCTTGTTGATGTGAGATGTGAGATAAGGGTCACTAAATACAAACCATTCTTGCATTTGGCCTCTCCAAACATCCGCTATCACTTAAGTGCTGGCTTAAACCTGAACCATATTTGTCAGAGACATGGTGGTGAGGTATGCCAATTTTCAAGGAAGCTACTATGTTGAACAAGATCTGAAGAATGCAGATCCAGCTTGGCCATTCAAAGTAGCCTCCTCAGTACATAATTGGTTCCCACTTGCTCCCATTAATCTGCAAAGAAAAGCCAAACGTATTTCAAGCCCTCAGAAAAAAAATAACAGCAGGCCTGAAACCTACGGATGGGTCAGATGGAGAACAGATCCTAGTTTCAGGTAGCTGTCTTTTAGTAATCAGTGTAAAGAAATCAGGAAGAAAAGGATGTCAGTTTGTTGATGAAAGTACTTCTTTTTCCTTTCAGTTCAAAAGGTACCTCAGCTCTAGCATGTTTTGTTTGATCTAACATAAAGCCTTGAGCCTTTGACAGGAATCTTTGGGCTGAAAAAAAATTCCGTGACAGGAAAATGTACCATGAAAATAACAGCTGCGACAGCATTAATGTACCATGAGGAAAATGAAAAGCTGAGTTTAGATTATGGAACAAGAACAACCGAAAGTACCAAAGTCCTCATAAGAGAAGGAATAAAAGGAAATGAAATTTACAATAAATAAAACAGCAAATGGAGGAAGCAAGATTACTGGTAGGAAAAAATTGAAAACCAAGTTGATTTCAAGGCATTCATCTTTTTCACAGGCAAATCTTCTTGGGTATCATGAACAGAAAGGGAAGAGGCATGGAATGTATGAACTATCAGATAATACAAGATTTTGAAAGAAGATATACACTATATTTTCTCTTCACAGGACATTTGGAATGGCAACTGCCGAAACCAACATATATTTGATTTAATACATCCCAGGAAGACAATGCATGGTAACGTACTTTAAGCAGAGTTGGACATGAGCAAATTGGAGACAAAATTATGCTGATGGACAGCTTTACGCTTATTTTTTGGCATGCTTTTCACAAAAATAAATAGCTACTTATCCATAACTACTTGTAAGAAATAACTTTGCAGAGGCCATTAATAATTTCACTGTGACTTATGAATGCGCATTCCAAAGAAACTACTTGTTAACAAAATGTCCTCATTGATTTTGTAAGTGTATTCATTTAGTAGGCGATGGTGATGTTCCCCTCATGTTCTTCCATTTACTTATGCAACAACCTACTGATATGTACCAGGAATAGATGACATTGCATTTCAGTCACTTTAACTGGTGTGGCTTCCAACAATAAATATAAATAAATGTAGTGGTTTTGTAAGGAACATGAAAATTCTTAGTTTGAGATCTTCCCCTCTCTGGTACCTTGATCACAGTATTACAGTGTCCAAATTGTTTGGGAAAATGGTAGAATAGCTACTCATTGAAAATAATGCTCTTCTAGGTAGTACTATCCTCTTCAAAATGATTTCCAGAGGTAACATGGAAATTCATAGTAGACTCTATGTCCAAATGTTTTTTTCCCCTCATTTGGTGGACTTTGTTTTAAGGAACAAGCTTATACTCAGTATGAATGAACAACACATTGTTGTGTTTGTTACTTGAGGATGAAGTGGCATAAGGAATGCACAGAGACACAGGATACTGTGCAAAAGCACCATGAAATTATGAATTCCTTTTTTATATTTTCTGCTTTGCCTATCTATTTTTCACACATGCATCATAGCTCTTGCCAGTTGTTATATCATAAAACCGGACTATATTTTACTGTGATGTCATTTTATGTAGTGTTTCAGAAAATATTACTTTATAAAAGATCTCACTAACGCAGAGTAAATCCACAGATGCAAAGAAAAATAATTTTGTTAAAAATGGTTGAGGTTAGTAAAATATGCAACTTTGTAATGTGACACTGAACAAATGAAAATGTTAAAGTCACTGGTACGATACAAACAACCCAATATATCATGATAAATGGAAGATAATCTTAGAATTTAGTAAAAATACTCTTCCCAGCTTAGATTCCTTTCTTGGTTGGTTACTCTTGTCTTGATCTATCTTAAATACCTGATTCAGATACAGAGAATGATAATGTAGAAACTACAAATTGCTGCTTTTAAATTCTGAAACTTTGCATGCTAATCCTGAATTATTTAGGGATATGTCAAATCTTCCAGGATGGTCTAGAGATAAGACAAGATGTCAATGGTTGCAACTGAATAATAGCTCAGCGTTGCAACTTAACCCATTGCGGCAGAAGTGGTTCCACATGCATCATGACATTTTCCACAAGAAAACTGTATGTTTTCCTTTTTTGATATCCATTTTTTGTACATTAGAATTAAAATCACAATATTTAGCAAGGAACCCAGCTAGCTAAACCTTAAGGAACTGCATAATACAGAGTTGCTGGGAATTGTTAAAGCAGTCGTGCTTTCTCTTTAGCGGCTGAAGTAACTTTTTAGATTAAATATTCTTCCTGCATAAAGATAATATTTGAGACCATGAATTCATGCTGCAAAGAACCAAAAGATGGGTGCTTAAAATGTTTTAAAATAGAGTCTCTTAAAACATTTCTATGTAGAATATCCATATGAGATTCCCTTTTATTTCTGCAACGTGATCCTTAGTCAAAACACAACAAAAATGACCATAAATATCTGAATGTATAACTTTTGGGAACTTTTGCTTTGCCATTTGATTTTCAATTCAACGATGTGGCTGATATATTTCATTAGAGAGTAAAAAAAATCCTAACCTTAACCATACAATGGACTATAAAGGGGATCAGAATTATGAATATACAACGTTTCCATTTTGCTTGTGTTTACCTAGTCTATGAAACCTTTACATGGTTTCTGTTATAAATTTCTCCCTAGCGTTGTTTTGAATGCTTGTTAGAAACAAAAGATTAAGGAAGAAGACATAATAACAAGAAAGAGGCCTCTTGTGGATTAATTTCTCTTTCTTGCAAAAAAAAACCCTAGACTGATGCTGATAAAAATGACCGAGCCACTATACCAGCTCCTGTGGTTTCTCAATGGCATGTAAGATCTTCTTGTTTGCTTTTGGGACCACCTACCTCTGTCCATGCTGTGCCATTTCAATTGCTCTGCGGGCAGGAACCGGGGACCCTCCATCTGTCACGCTTAGAACCTCCATGGACTTCCTCTCCGGTCTCCGCTTGCCATGTCTGTTCAGCATTGGAGAGTCCACACGTTTTCTGGGAGGGTCTTTATGCAGAGATAATGCAGTCAACTTAGCATGGTTATAAGATGGCTCAAATCTCTTGGAATGATAAAACTCAGGGTCCCCACAATCTGTTTTCTAAACTCAACAAAGGGGATGAGGACCCTGATAGAAACCAAAACCATTTAAACTCTTTCCACATCTCTGCATCTCATACCTGGTCCTTTTTACTCTTGCCATTCAATCATATATCTAAAGCACTTTTCAAAAGTAGCTTACATCATAGCACACATATACGACCTAAAAGCAGAGCTTAGATAATGCAAAGAGGATAGGCATTTTATTCAGGGAAATCATAGGTCCAAACAATAACTTTTGTTTCTCTACAAATTTTATTTTTATATTCTAGTTTTCTTTTTTTCTAATGCTACATTTTATATCTTACGCTTATGTTTTCAGGGTATTATGTTTACAAAGTATTATTGTTGCTAATCTTGCACTAAAACTTTGAAAAAGAATAGACACCTGATGCTTTATCCTAGAAAACTTTAAATAGTAATAATAAATAGATATCTGCAAGCTTTGCAGATCTGTGACATTATGATTCCATTATAGGATCTTGGTCAATACTTCATCACAAGATGCAGATATATATTAAAAATTGCAGACAATGAAAAACAAGAGGAGAGCCTAAAAGAATGAGAAAAATATAATATAGATTTCTAGTATTCTGAATCTTGCACCTATTGCAAACAGCTTTTGTTGAATGAACACTTGTTCAGCGACCTTTCAAATTTATGATGGCGCTAAATGAGACGGACTTATGATGGGTCCTTCTAATTGCACCTATTGCAATGACCCATGGTCATGTGATCGTCATTTGCAATCTTCACTGCTGACTTTCAATAAGCAAAGTCACTGAGGAAGCTGGCAAGAATTTGCAAATAATGACAGTGTGGCTGTGGCATGCTACAACTGCATGAGATCTGCCTAAGGCCAGCAGCTGGGATTGCCACAACTGCCATCATTTAAATCACTTCATGTTTAAGACTCTATCGCTTAGCGACAACATTGCCAGACCCATTTACCCTTGTTAAGTGAGTACTACCTATATTCTGATATTTTTTCCTTTATATGCTGATGCCCACCTGGACAAGAGAGCACTTACATGTAACTTTGAAGAAAACAATATCTCCAAACAATTGTTTATCTGAAGTGATATTTAATAGATAATAATATCTCTCTCTCTCTCTCTCTCTCTCTCTCTCACACACACACACACACACACACACACACAAACTTGCTTTGCATTTCTAAAGACAACTGAGCAAAGAGCTGCATTCATTTACTCTGCTTCCCTTGAATAATAATGTATATGAATTCTAAAATCAGAATATACATCATCCAGATATATTCAGTTTGAATACAAAACTAGTACATTTAAGGACTATATTTTTGTTTCTTATATAAGGAAATGTAGACTATAGCTTGCATTATGCATGAATAAGAAGCATGATGTATCATTGGGATTGAAGAAGCTGGAGAAACTGCTACCTTAAAAAACAGAGGTATGCTTGCATTGAAGAGAAAATTGAATCAAATAAAATATCTGCATCTCTATAACTGTCTGGTTTGATTCTACAACCCAAGACAGACACAGACTTCAATGGATAATTAGAACTGCAGAAAAAATAATTGCTACCAACCTGCCTTCAATTGACGATCTGTATAATGCGCGAGTCAAAAAGAGGGCTGTGAAAATATTTATGGACCCCTCACATTCTGGACATAAACTGTTTCAACTCCTACACTCAAAACGACACACCAGAACAACCAGACACAAGAATAGTTTTTTCCTGAACGCCATCACTCTGCTAAACAAATAATTCCCCTTACACTGTCAAACAATTTACTAAGTCTGCATTATTATTACTATTACTATTCATCTTCTCATCCTTCCTTTCACCCATCTCCTCCCACCTATGACTGCATGAATGTAACTTTGTTGCTTGTATCCTTATGATTTTTTTTAAATTGACTGCTTACTAGTATAATTGATTTGATTTGGTCACTTATTATTGTTTCCTAGTATGATTTGGTTGCTTATTTGTACTCTCTGACTACTATTAAATGTTATACCTATGATTCTTGACAAATGTATTTTTTTCTTTTTCTTTTTATGAACACTGAGAACATTTGCACCAAAACAAATCCCTTGTGTGTACAATCACACTTGGCCAATAAAGAATTCTATTCTATTCCATTCCATTCCATTCCATTTGTTACAAGCTGATCTGCTCCCTTATGGCAAAACACAAAGTTACATAAAATTATAACCATACAAAACAGTTCAGTTTAAGAAGCCAGATGGATCAATCAGAAAATATACTTCCATTATTTCTATCAGGTGTTTGTATGTGTGTACAATGCAAAGCTCTGAGTGCATTTCCATGTGAACATAAACTTCCTATCTAAATAGGTTTTTATTTCAGTGGTTAGAGGAATTCCAGGTAAGTACAAAATGCTTACGCAAAGTAATCTACTAAAGTACATTTAAAAGCTTTTCTAAATTATAGCAGCTATTGTTCATACATTGGACTTTCTGAATGTGCAATAAACTTTTTCATTAGCTAGAATTTTACAAATTTGTCAATAACAATGAATGGGGATGTGACTTCGCCCTCAATAAGAGCAACCAAAAGAAGGAGACTTAAGAGAAGATAGGGTTTTAAAATATATATACCTATTTCATTTCTAGGAGGAAGATCCTCATCTTCATGACTGGGATATCTCTCTTTCCGATCAAGGAGTAGAAAATAAATCATTTTTTCCTGATTTTCCCTAGAAAAATTATAACATTATATCAACATCATTCTTTAGTAAAACATGGAACTTCCTGAAATAAATGAAAGGAAGCTCTAATGCAGATGTTATTTACCTGTCTTGATCTTCTTTAAGTAACATTATTGTTTGTTTGTTTTTTAAAGGGGCTGCCTATGATAGAATGTTAAGAGATAATTGAAATATGTGAAAGGGGCATATTATGTAATTCTTCCTGGATTCTGTTTCAGATTCATGTCTATTATGTCTACTATGCATCAACTGATTTCAAACATCAGTTGATGCATAATAGACATAAAATATGTTCTACCTCCACATGACTCTCTAAGGTCATCATAAAAAATCCCATTCAGTGTCTGGCAGCTTAGTGAAGTACAAAGGACAGAGAGTAGAATGGGGCTTTCCATGCAGCTTTATTCAAACTGTGGAATTCACTGAACTTGGGGTTCCAACAATATGTATTGCTCTCAGTATTTGATGATAGCTCTTGCTTTGATCTGTTGTAGCTGAATTCCTATTATAGTATATAATTGTAAGATAATATACTACAATTACTCTACTATTACTCTACTCTACATATCTGTAATTCAAATGTGTGTTCCTGCAGTGTTTTTTATTTTACACCGAAGAGCATTTGTATACACAATTTCATCGTCTACAACTGCAGCTTGAAGCTTGGTTTAAAAATTGTTTCATGATACTGATGTTATATGGTGCCGAGTGTGTAATTTTGTTTCCAAAATTTTCCAGCCAGTTTGCTGGGGATTCTGGGAGTTGAAGTCCACACATCTTAAAGTTGCCAAAGTTGAAAAACACCATCCTAAGCTACAAATGAATGGCCTTCCAATCTGAGTCATCCCTCTGCTATAAATTCTTTCTGAATGTCAATCCTCTATTTGAGAAAAATGGGGAATAATAATCCAAACCAGATACCTGGATTGTTAAATGTTTATAACGAGGTAATGCTAGGGAAATGTTTTATTTATTTGAAAGTGCTCACAAATACAGTTAGAAGAAAAGAATGCTAAAATTTTCCAAATAATTTATTTTTAAAATTGGGAGTCATATTAGATTATATTGACTGCGGCAGAAAAGGTTTGAGAGTAGTGTTTATGCATCTCTTTATAAACTGATTTAAATTCAAAATAATTTCAGCATTCTTCAAGAAAACTTTCAATAAAGATAGAGTAAGGTTCCCCAATCTAGTGCCAACCAGACATTTCAGATTACAGAATGCAATGTCCTCAGCCAGCATGGACATGTTAGGTAAGGATGACCAGTTATAGTCCACTATATTAGAAAAAAGAAGAACGGGCTGGGCAAGTTTGTTCTGTAATCTGACAAAAGATATCATTTTCTATCACATACCACTTAATGATACACCCTTATAAAAAGAGGAGAGAGAGGGGGGAGGGAGGGAGGGAGAGAGGGGGAGGGAGGGAGGGAGAGACAGAGAGATCTACACACTTGAATTCCAAAACATTGTTACACTATGTGGTACACTATGAAAATCACTACCTTCAAATGTGCTGGCTACCAATTCAGAAAGTTTTAAGAATAGTTTGGTTATATTTTTGGAGGAATGGGTTATTAACGGCAAATGATGTAGGCCATGAGTGTCAAATTCGCCACATTATGTTGCTGTTAAGTGACGTATCGCAATTTCCCCCCCTTCATGGAGCTGGGGTGGGCGTGGCCTGCATGTGACACATCTGGGCCGCCGACCACCAGTTTGACATCCCTGATGTAGGCTGTTTATTCCCCAGTCACAGATAATCTATCTTAAATACCACTTCACCACTTCCTACAGAGTGATAGCTTCTGTTCATAACAAGGTAATGTTTGTCAGCTTTCTGAAGCATAGCAACCACTATATGAAACAGAATATTTGGTAAATAGATGGTTCACTTCATTTTCTTATGTTTTTATGTATCCTTTTTCCCTTTAATGATTCTATGTGTGGGAGGGTTCTGATGCCACCCAGCTAAAAAAATGTTGTTTCCCCTCTTTAATGTGGAACTATAATGGTTGCCTAAATAGTTTCATTTGCTTTAATACACATGTGACATTTCTTATACAGTTAACCAATGATACATAGACAGAGTACTTACTCTTCTGACAGCAGGTCCTGTAAAAGTTTGTTTCTATCCCGGAAGCAACCTAAAGAGTGCATGCTATCTAGAACATCAGGATCGATGTCTTCCAAGGAAGGGAGGGACCGAATCTGGACTTTTCGAGGAATTGGTTGTTCTGGTTCTGGCTCATTCTTACCCCCTCTTTAGATGAGAGGAGGGGTGAGAGAGAGAAGGAGGGAGGGAGATAGAGAATGAGAGAGAAAGAGAGAGAGAGAGAGAGATGAGGAAAGAAAAAATAATTACACTTCTATACAAAAGGAAAATATTCTCCCAAAGAGGGAACTCAAGCAGTTTGTCTCTAACTTCAACAGAGATTTAGATTCAAGTCTGATTAAGTATTTGAGACCTAGTATTTTAAATAGTGGCTTCTATGTATAATATATCAGAGGAGTTCACAATTAGGAAATTAAATATCTTGGCTGTTGCAATTAACAGAAGTGCAGAGTCAAGTGGAGGAGAAGAGGCTGTTTTGTTCCTTTGGAAGAGACAAGGTGTCTTTTCCCCGCCCCTTTCAGAGATTTTAAAAATCCCAACTGGTATTCAGATGAGATTCTTTGCCTTATTTTCCATTACCATCATCCTCTGGTAATGCTGCATGGTCATCTAGCCATTGCAGTGTCAGGGGATTGCTGTAAAAAGAACAAAAGGAAGAATAGTTTTCATGCTGCTAGCAAGTGCATAAGAACTATTTCAAAGTTGGAAGTTTTAAATTTCCAAACAGCTCCTGTGATTATTAATTAGAAGCACAACAAGAGCCACCATTTTCCCCCTTTCTCTTTATAATGATCACCAGGTGATCACGAACAAGAGAGAGAAAACGACAAAAGCAAATATTGACTGAAAATACACATGGAGGCTGATTTGAAATTAAAATTCTCCATAAGGGTATGGCGACGTCCTTTGAATACCTAAGGAAATTTTGATCTCTAGATCTCTAGTGGACAGTTCTGGTTACTGATTAGATATTACTTCCAAAGCCTCCAAACCAAATAGAGCATACTCTCTTAATCATAAATTTACTGCCCCTAATTAATATCTTAGCAGCTTAAGTCAGATATATTGAACCAGTATTTTAATGTGAATCATATATCAAACACTTTATTCCATTATTTAAAATTAAGAACCTTTCCAAGACAACGAAGTTGTTTTAGTTAATTTCTATTGGTTGCCATATCTAACGTTAGTAGAACCTCACAAAAAGATTGATCTAAATCAGCCAGATGCGTCACATGCAGATCACGCCCACCCCAGCTCCACAAAGGCAAAAAACATTGCAATATGTCGCCATATGCCATATGATGCAATCCAGTTTGTCACCTGTGATTGAAATTGTTTGCAGAAAGATATTTCTATTATAGGATAGAATGATGGCATATTATTCTTTGAGCAATACTGGTTATAACACAAGCTTTTCAGGAAAATTAAGAGAGAGTGAGCATATCTAGAGTTAATCCGATAGGGCAATGCTTTTGTACAGTTTTATTCCCTGAATGATGTCACTACTATTAAAAATAATGCATGTAATGAAACAGAAATACTATTATTAAATGTTAAGATATAATCATAATCTTCATTTTTAGGGGAAAAAGGAAACCCTAATGCTTCTGTACTCAAGGCATAACTTCAAGAAATTACTGTCTTTAAAATCATATTTAAAATATTAATGAAAAGTTACTTACATATACCATATATGCTTCTGAATGTGTTCTAGCTAGAAGTCAACAGAAAAAAAATGGAATGACTATAACAACATGACAACAAATGCTAATTAATACTCTATTTAACATTTTTCTTAAAATACAAAGTGCTATTTCTGCACAAAATTACCAATAGATTTACATTCATACAATAGGAATGCAGCAGTATCATTCAGAACTGGATATAATATTTTGCTATTTCCTGAGATTCACCATTGGCACAGGCAAACTGGGGAAGGCTAAAAATTAAGGAACCCGATATCTCTGAATATATGATCAGTAAATAAATCCAAATCTTCACATGTCCTTCTAAAAAAAGGTTTCTCCTCTTAGAAATCCATAGAAAAAGAGGGGAGTTTGTGGGAAACATTGCTATTATGAGGCAATTGGGAGTTGTAAATATAAAAATCTATTGCAAATTATTCAGGCTGCCAGGGGATATTATCTTCTGCCCTTCCCCCCCCCTCGATAAAAAAAATCCTATAAGATCTGATAATAACAGTGATTCAGTCAAAAACTATGGAAATGACCTTCCAAAATAAATGGTTTCATGAAACAACCTTTTCTTCAAATATGTTGCTTTGGATAATTTTTCTAGATTTTCAGCACTTGGGGAAGCAAGCTTATAGGTTTACTTCTCATTTGATATCCATAAAACTGTACAGATAGTCTTTGACTTACAACAGTTCATTTAATGACTGTTCAAAGTTCCAATGACACTGAAAATAGAAACTTATGACCATTTCCCCCCCAGCACAACCTGTGGTCATGTGATCAAAATTCAGACACTTGGCACCTGACTCATACTTATGATGATTGTCCCAGGGTCATGTGATCATCTATTGTATCATTCTGACAAGCAAAGTCAACAGGGAAGTCAGATTCACTTAAGAACTGTGTTGCTAACTTAACAACTGCAGTGAGGCAAAATTCATTTCACAAATGTTTCAGTAAGCAATTTTGGACTCAATGGTGCTCATATGTCAAGGACAACCTTTATTGGTAACCTGTAATTCCAAGAAAGACTGTACCTACCACAGAACATAGGCCACAGACCACAAAACAAGCCGTAAAATCCCATCTCAGCCAGGTGATCTGAGACTCTTTAGTAGTAAAAACTACAGACAGGTTTGAAAGAAATCAAAGCAATACAATCCATCTGTTTACTCAATGTTGATCACTCACCATACTGACCAAAATAACATCCCTCCCATAACAGTACCTGAAATTAGGTTGGAATAGATAAATCTAAATCAGGGGTGTCAAATTGGTGGCCGGCGGGCCGGATGCATCAGGTGCAAGCCACACCTACCCCAGTTCCGCAAATGGGAAAAACATCATGAAATGTCACGTGACAGCAATGTGACTCCGCAAGTTTGACACCCGTGATCTACATCATCTGGAGATCATGGGGCTGAGATGCCCCTAAATTCTCCAGGACTTCTCTCAAGAGTAAAGTATTGGTGTTCCCATCAGTACTACTACATTACAAGACAAAAAAAAATCTGGCTGTCTTTTGGAAGGCAGTTTATCCCCTATCTTTACTGAACCAATCTTATTTTTTACTGCTTTCACTGGCTAGATAGGGCAGCAAAGTCCAAGCATGCACGAGAACTCTCCAAAGATGTTCATACTCTACAGTTATACAGGCAAACTTTCACTTATTCTTAATGTATGTTTGTAATAGCACTTGTTCTGATTTATCAGACCAAATCAACATGGTTATAATTTTAATAAAGGAAATAGACTCTCTGCTGAATAGTCAATGGATCCCATATGACAGTGTGAGTGTATAAGATCATATGAGTCAGTATGCGTTGTGCAGATGGCTCAGTAGTACGTGTGACTTAGGGATAGACAGACAATTGGAACAAAGTTTAAATCCTATTAGCGGAGTGTATGAGATCAGAGACCTCCTAAATTGGCCTGCAAGAACTATGGCAGCTGTTTTGCTCTCATTATTTTCCACCTCATTTCCAGCTAATGAGAACTGGCAAGTCAAAATAATCTGCATAAAAATGTGAGGGAATAGACCAAAAAAAAAAAAAATGAAGACTGCTTTGAGATTGTGACCGGGAGGCTCAGAAAGGTACAACAGAATCAGTGGTTTAATCTGTATTCTATAATAATCACTATGAACAATCCTGAACTATTCTTTTTTTTTCCTAATGAGACTGCTTGTTCAATGTATAAAAAAAAAATCTAAAGGAAAAGCAATCGCGTTAAATGTAGGTGAGAAAGTCTGGAGGCCTTCTTTAAAAATAATGGGAACTTTTAGGATTTTTGTGATTATTTATAAACCTTACTCTGCTTGCCTCAAATTTAAGACATATCTGGTTCACATCCTTAAGCTGCACCTAAGCTGTGCTGATGCCACCTTAAATATTTAATGAAAAATTAAAGCTAAATGTTTTAAGCTGTTTTAAGAAAATTCTGGCCAGGTTAGGCTCCTATAGCACACCTTGCCAGATATTCAGTTCAGACTGCTAGCTATTGCAGATCTCACTGTGCAATTCCCTGTAGTTGTACCTTTCAAACTTTTCATGCCAGGAAAACAACTGCTAATTGCTTTTCTTTCTGTGTCCAAGTCTTACTGGACACAAATACTTTTGAAACGATGTGCATATATACATACACTTTATACATATAACATTAATTAAATTTAGATATACAAAGTTAAAATATTAAAATACAGATATATTCAGATACAACAATCAGCATTTTTTTTTAAATTTTCAACTTTTAGCTCAGTATGGTTTTTTGCCATTTATGTTACAGTTCTTTCCTAGTAGTACAGTAGTTATAACATTTCCCTGCAGTGCAGAACGTTACCGGTTTTGAATCTGCCAAGTTGTACTTTTTAAATTACTATTTTTCTTTCCCTGAGCTACTCATTTTATGGTTCTTTTTCAAATGTCAACCAATGTACTGTTTCATCATTTTTCCAGGTATCTGAGATGGAAGGGTTTGTTACCCACACCCAAATAGCTCAAATGACCTTTTAGGGTTTGAAAAATGAGGCAATGGTATACTTTTGAAATACTAATAATTATTATTATAACAACAATCATGTTTTGAAAGCCAAATGATAAAGTAAGTAATTCAGAGAAAGAAAAAATATATATTCAAAACATATATATGCATACATACATACACAAGCAAGCATATACATGTATCTATACTTCTGAAGTTCTGAATTGGGGATGTTTTGCACAGAAAGCTTTATGATCACTATGATATGGAAAATACTTGTAACAGAAGCTAAAGTAGATCTTATTAGGTGGTGGGATTCAATTTTTTTTACTACTGGTTCTGTGGGCATGGCTTGGTAGATGTGGCTTGGTGGGCATGGTTTAGTGGGCATGGCAGGGGAAGGTTACTGCAAAATCCCATTCCCTCCCCACCCTGCTAACCTGCTTTCCAGCTCTGTTCTCCTATGCAAGGCAACAAAAGAAGACCCAGCCGATCAGCTGGGACTCAGGAGGCAGAGAATAGATGGGAGCAGGGCCAGTCAGGGGTGGTATTTGTCAGTTCTCTGAACTACTCAAAATTTCCACTACTGGTTCTCCAGAACTGGTCAGAACCTGCTGAATACCACCTCTGATCTTTTTGAGGAAAAGATGGGAAATGCTGGTGAAGGAGATTGATAATAGTCAAAATCTATGGGTTTGCTTAGAAAAAAGGAAGCAGAGCAAACAAAGTAGGCGGCAAAGCTTGAACCAGCACATACTGAAAACTGCTGCTTTCAACTTGGAACAGGAAAATACAGAGTATGCATTGAAGGCAAGTAGAGGACTACGCTTTCCCTTCTTGTTCTCGAGAAACAATTGGTGCCTTTTACTTGGAATGGGGCAACTTGATAATTGGGTATGCCCTAATTATGAAAAAATATAAATAGAACAGATCAATTTTCATCTTATTCATCTTATTCCTCAATCAATTATCTCAACTCTGGATGGCAGCTTCACATAAAAAGAGATATCTTGGGAAATCTTGAGTCATATTTTTAGTGTTCCCTATAAGTCCAAAGTGGGATGTGAAAACTGATCTATCTATGAAGTACCTAAAGGAGTTCAATTTTGTTGAGACATCTCTAGGATTATATCTTGATCACCAATACAAGAAGGGACTGTTCATCCTTAGGTAAATTATTTGGATGACATAGAGCGATATCTAATTTGTTTAAATTTATTTAGTCAATTTATTGATTTGGTTTATCTCCAAGCACGTGTGAGCCTGTTGGGATAAAATTTATTCCTCTCGAGGTTAATTGAATAGCTCAGATAGCTTAGTTTTGAAGTTTGCATGGCTTTCCTTTTTCCTTATAATCTTGGAAAACCAACATCTGTTACAGGGATGAAGAAACTGTGAGCATTCAGATCTTTCAGAATTAGAATTGCCTATCCTGTCCGGGACTGCTGGAAGTTGTACATTGTAATGGTATGTGGAAAAGACCTTGATAAAATGGATGAAGAAACACAGCTTGCGGAATAGTCAGATAAGAGAAAGGCATAGCCCACAGCTGGAGAATTGGTGGGGCAAGAGGCCCTAAAGGGCTAAAAGGAAACAACAGGACAATTATATTTTCAGACTTGCAAGATTCTATTAATGTAGCTTTATTAATAAAGTAAAATCATCTTATCAGGTTGTGTTCCCTATCTGGTCCACCTGGTAAGGCTGACATGATTCAGTAATATCTGAAGAGCCAAAGGAACCACATTCCTAATCTAACATATTATCAGTTCATACATTCTGAGAAAAAAGTTATCTTCTGATTGCAGTTGTAATTATAATGCAGTTGTATCCTGCTTTTTCCTCCACTGAGATCAAAGTAGCTTATATAAAATTCATGGATTATTCTCAGCTAAAAGTTGATCGATCCAGTTTTACTAATTTGAAGAATTTGCAACTTTCTAGTTAGTATTTTTGGATGTGAGGGGGTTAAACCATAAATTGAGTCACTAAATAAACTTATTTTGGTATCATTGGCACGTAAATTACCACCTTGTGCCAC